AGTGGTGCCATCAGCAGCAATACCGACCAGGTTGCCAGCGACATCGAGTCCGTTCATGGCCTTGTGGCCGGAAGAGCCACGGGGGTCACGGGTCAACAAGTTGGAAGAGCGTCCAGCGATTGGCGCACCGATGACGGAGTTGGCGGAGAGGATGGTGGCAAGAGCCACAGTAGCGAGCTTGGAAGTGTCGATATACATTTTGAATGAAGATTGGTTGGAAGTTGAAGATGCTGTAAAGCGAAGAGTTGTAGAAAGCAGAAAGGCTTTGAGATTGGAAGCTTTGTAGTGAAGATTGTTGTGATTGTTGTTGATGGAGAATTCAATTCTGGGATGGATTCAAGCACTCTTTTATAGAGCACTCTCATGCATTGTTGTGAAGTTGTATACAAAGATGGCCCCAGGCTGACCAGGCGCACACCTTCATTGCGACACTGTATAGCAAAGGTCAACCTTTGGGGTCCAAGGATCGCAACAGTACCTGCGCATTCTCTGAAACTGCATGCAGGACGAACACCAGCGTTGGCCAAGATCCCAGGTATGAAGCGAGCTTATTTTACTCTAATGAAGAGTCAATCAGTACAGGCACATTATTGGAGAATGGCAATGGACCCTGGGGGCCATTTGGATCCTCCGGGATGTATTCACAGTTGGAATAGCCACATTGCCAAGAGCCGCACTGACTGAAAATCCGCGTGCGATCTGAATTCTCTTCTGAACCGTGCTTGGAGGGCCATTTGTGCTTGGAGGGCCATTTGGGGGTGGCAGGTGCTGAGGCTATGCCGCAGGAATGACAGTTGAAACAGTCCATGCCCATTTTGGCCCGGATAAGGCAGTTTTCCTCATGTTTCAAGTCCGCTCAGGGTGCATTGTCGATGCACGTGGAAAGTTTGTATTCTCTGAGGAATCAGCATCGTTTGGCGCCGTCATGGGTTGTATTGTAGAGAGTAGACTTGAGGATGTCATGAAGTCGCGCAGTGATGGCGGTGATAGCGGAAACCGTGTCTACCGCTTTATTCTGCCGTGTTTACTCTGCCATGCCCAATACAGCAATCGAGTACAACTGCTCCTTGTCCACCACGCATATTTCTTCCTAAGGCTGATTCTCAATTGTCAACCTTATGTCTGTATCCCATATGTTCGAATTCTACGCATGTCCATTCTCAATGGCCACCTGAGTCAGGAACTGGATGGCATCGGATGATCGGATCCTTCGGGCTACCAAGCCACGCCGCAATTTACGGCTTTGTGAGTGGTGGTTAATTTTATGAACAGCTAAATGAAGTTATGCAGCTAACACTAGATGCAGCGGCAATGCGCTCGACCCTGATTCGTGACACGATAAATACGACCAGGCTATTTCCGATTTAGCGTGACCGGCGGTTTCAATTATATCGCTCACAAATTTGGGGCCATTAAGCGGATTCGCTTGCTACTATACCCTATCAAGACTGGTCTGGCACTGTTGTAAAATGCGGTTCTACCCGATGATTTTGATTCCAATTTAGGAACACGAGCATACTCGGCCAGCCTTACACTTGTGCTTGGTTTTTATGGCGTGATGACAGGCGAAATCCGCCCCTCGAGTCCGCTGTGCGCTTTCCGAGAATAGCTGTCCATCTCAGATGACAGGCAGGTACCTGCTTGAGCCACGACCAGGTTACAGATACGCTGGGGAGTCGTCGGCAGAGGTGAACCAGGTGATACTCCGTAGTGAATGTGCCAATTCCGGAGCTGTTCTTCGTCCTAGTTGAACTGCACCTTCAGCTCCGTAGTGTAGTGCTGTACTATGTAGACTCGGTAGACAATCGGACGCGTTGGCAGTCTTATTCGTATGTTATGAATTCCGTCTCGATGGCGTCTCATAATGACTTCTTCATAGAAAATAGCCGAGGTGGTGCTATGGCACTATGCCATCAACATAATCAGTCCGGATGGTATCGATTACAGAGTACTTCCTCGATGTTCGTGGCACGTAATTCTAGTAGTATGTGAAGAATCGGGTTTCAGCATCTTGATATCCGAAATAGACGAGTAGCATGTTACTTCGAGGTGTAAATATGTTGCTGCGTGGATGTTTATTACCGGTGCGGATATATATTTTTGAAGCTGCATACCACTGCTACACCATAATTGTCCGAATGCCACTGCTAAGCATTATCTGACTCTGTAATCTCATGTACCCTTCGTGCTATACTATTTTGCTATTTATTTTCTTTCTTTCTTTTTGCAAACCATACAGAATGCATAGAGAACACTCGATTGTTTACTTCCAAAAAGGGTAAGGTCATGACCGCAGAATAGTAATTCCGGCACGCGCTCGCGTCGATACTCTGTAGCAGACTAGCAGTGCTGTCGCGAACTCAGGCTACTCAGCAGACACCACTTGGAAGCTCCTCTAACCACTCAAATGAACGCTATTATGCTCCTGCTATGCTGCAAAATACGTGGGAAACATGACTGTCCCTTGCATCCAATGAAAGGGAACTGAATTGTAACCGGCTCATGGCTGGAATGCTGACACGTCCAGTATGGCCATGCGATTCCCTTATAATCCCCAGTTGGACGCCTCGGTGCTTCAAAGGCATCTGAGTGCTCCTCGATAACTCATTCTTGCTCATCATGACGCTACTGAATCGCACCTTTGCTGCCCTAGTGGCGGTCAGTACATGTACGTCAATACGTTTTTGGTTACAACTGATGGCACATAATCTAACGTTCCAAAGTACTGTCCGGCTGTCTTGCACAGGATCCTCTGCCAACGACTTATAAGGACCCGAAAACCGGAATCAGCTTCGATACATGGAACGTGCCAGGCAGTTCTGGAACCGCCGGGCTGACCTTTGGCATGGCTCTCCCGAGTACGGCGTTGGAGGATGATGCCACAGAGTTTATCGGATATCTCGTAACACTCCCCACATGCCGGTGCATATTGGCTGCGAACTAACTGAAGTAGCATTGTGCTGCAAAAAATGCCACGACAGCCCGCGGTTGGTGCGGCATCTCGTTGGGCGGTTCCATGGTGGACAGTCCTTTATTTATTGCCTACCCGGATCGCGGCCGCGTTAAGACCTCCCTACGCTTCACCTCTGGATACACGATGCCTGGAGTCTACACCGGCAACGCCACAGTCACACAGATCTCGTCTGCTGTCAATGCGACGGGTTTCTCATTGACCTTCCACTGCCAGGACTGTCTGCACTGGTCACAGAATGGCACGACAGGGAGCGTGTCTACAAGTGGTAGTATGTTGGATTTCGGTTATGCGCAGTCTATCGAACCGCCGGTCAATCCGTCCTGTCCGGATGGGATAAGGCTGGCGCGGCACGACTCGCAGGGTACCTGGACCGCGTTGCTGGAAGATGCCGCAAGCGAGTCCTACGATAAATGGCGCGCTCTGGCAAACCATACTGTTCCTAGCAACTGCACCAGCACGAGGGGCCGCAACTCCAGTGTCCCGTCCCCCAGTCGACTATTCGGCAGTCGACTATTCGGATAGGTTCTGTCACGGGAGAATTTTGGGGCACGGATGGCACATGTGTCTTCACCCTTGCTCATGTAATCCAAGTACTTGCGTTTTCGCTTCATCTATTCACGAGAGTCTTGGTTTATAGTTGTGGTATAGCTAAAAGGTATCATAGTATACAATCCGGGCTACACAAGTGCTTATGCTTTTATGAATGAAATAAATTGTCAGAATGTACGCGTCTATGAACAGTGACCCAATGGCTATATTCACCCGACTTGCGACGAACAAACTCAGTAGTTGGCGCTGAAAAAGTAGACACCGGAGAACCTGGTCGACTTAGCGAACGAATCAATAATTAAAGTGAGGATACATACCTAGTAGGCGATTTCCGGTGCCGTAGCAGCGGCGGCGCTTCATGAGCAGCCAGATGGAAGTTGGAGAAGAACCATACGACGCTGCGAGATGCAATGGCGTTCCGCATGTTTGGTAAAGTCATTGGACGAAAGACTGGGCTGAGTGTGTCCCGTCTTCCTCTCGAGTGGCCTGATCGCAACCTATATAGCATTCCTGCAGCGTTTCAAATGGAGTCTGATGTGGTTTGAGCACATTTGCACGAATATACCAGTAGATCCCGCACTACGGACTTGCTCTGAATACGCCAGGGCCAGGATTGTCCAATAGAAACCCGCCTCTGCAGACCAGAACATATGCGTGGGATTGAGCACATTTTACAACTCAATCAACTGCGCCGAGTCACACCGTTCGTTAGCACTGACACGGTCAGAGCCGACCAGGTCAAGATGGGCATATATAACAAACAGTGGACGTGAAACGCAAGTATGAACCAGCATTTTTCGTGACGAGATGGACCATGACCATGGCACTGTAAACATGACCATGGAAATGAAGTATCCCGACCATGGCCATGGCATGGTAATGCCCGCCGTTTTCATTACCGGAACGCACATCACGCTGTTCTTCAACAGTTGGAGAACCTCATCGCTGACCTCATACCTCCTTGCACTATTCCTTCTCTTTGTATTGGCCTTGTTCAATCGCTTCCTTGGGGTCCTGAAACTCCAACTCGATGCCAGAATTGAGACACCTCTTGTTCCCAATGTCCCCATTACAGCCCCTCCACCCGCATTGAGACGGCATCCTCTCATTCCGAAGAACCACGCGAGTCCTCTCCCACGCTATGTGAAGAGTCACAACGCCCACGACGGCGACCACTTCCCACCGGCACCCTTCTCGCACGCGCAATCCGAGGAATGGAATGAGTTCATCTCGGGCCGACCCACAAAACCACAAGGACCAACTGTACGATTTCTCCGTGCGCTCTCTGGTACATGGACAACGAGAGAACCTTGGAACTGGCGACGGAGGAGTCTCCGTTCATTGCTGGAGGGAGCGCGGGCGTTGATCGGTTATATGCTGTAAGTTTTCACCTCGATCGAAGATATGACCTAGCTAAGGGTCCTAACTTTCGTAGAATGTTAGCAGTTATGACTTTCAACACCGGGGTGTTGTGTGCGGTAATCGGCGGGATTATTGTCGGCGAGTTGGTTCTGGGTCAGTATGCGCAGTCGGGTTGGCAGGATGGAGCATGTCATGATGGTTAGCGTGTTGGACAATGAGTTTCTGAAATGTGTCAACGAATGAACGATGTATATTCCTGCTCATGCTTTTCATGATTTGTATGTATCCTACATTAAGAAGCTCTGACTATATTTTGTTATAAACAGAAGGCTAGTACATACGAACCATAGGGTGTGGAGAACAGGGCTTCCCGTCCGCTCAGCCGTACTTAAGCCACATGTTAAGTGCGGCCAACCGTCAATTTTGCCTTTTTCTCGTTGCCGCTCTAAGGGTGATGACCGGGTGAGCACTAGTTGGGTACAGGTGATTGTGATGCCTTTAGAGTCAAGGGTGAGTGTTGGGGTGATCAGTGGACAGTGGGTGAGCATGGCCTTGCGAAACCAAACAGTACTTCTAAAAAGACTATTTGGCATAAATGGGCTGTTGTTTCGCTTGAGCATCACATTTTTCTTCTTCATTTTTCTGCCTTGTGTCTTTCTAGACTATAGAGACAGTGTCACAGGCTGCGCCTGTCGCATAAGCGATATGTTTAGTCAGGCGGAGAGGCTGTCGGACGGAGAGATTATCGTATAGTTCTAGGACAAAAGTCTACGTAATTTCCCGCAACCACGAAAATATATATAATCGCCAAAACATTTCTTTTCCCCATAAAACAACTCGATTTACTGATGTGACGGTTAGCAGGCGGCCGAAAAGGGCTACTTCGGTGGCCGTTTTTGGAGTCCTGCTAACCAACTCCCGTCTTGGCATCAGGTGAGCGTATTCCCACGGCCACGGGCTTTTCCTCCACGCCAGGCCACGGGTTTAAACCGTTTCACGTCCCTCGACGCTAGTCTCAAATGGGACTTTTGTTGCTATTTTGTTCAACATCATCTATCTAAACACTCTCACTGCGGTCGCAAATGGTAGCCCATTTTGGCTCCCCTCGACCATCATGTTTTCTCGAATTTATAAATCCCATTGTGCCGACCGTGTCCTTCCCTGCTTCCATCCTTCCTCCCATGAGCATCTCTTGGAGCACCTCCTATTCTTTTGAGGTCTGTTTTCATCGACAAAACCGCTGTTATTCTCACCTTTTTTTTTTTTTATCTTCTACTCCAGACTTTCTTTTTGTTTTTCAGTTTCCCGCAGGCTGTGTTAACCATGGCGCCTCACTCCTGACCAGTCAGCTCTGACGACAAAGAGAATCAGACTGATGCCAGCTCTGACCTGAGTGAGATCTTTTCAGACAATGGCTCTGATAGTGACTCCACCAGTGACCTGGAACTTGATAGTGAGGATTCAGATGATGAAGATGAAGATGAACCCAATGACAATATCTCCAATGATGAGGGCCAGCTGCCTCCTGAACACTATTTGGCCCAAGTGGAGAGCTTGAATGTCTCTCAGCTTCGACAGAAGCGGTACAGCGACGCCACTCAGGAAAGACTTGATGAGACGTGCATGTACTGGAATAGGTAGATAACTCTCTTAGCCATCAAATCATGTTGAAAGCTCACTGGTGGCTTCCTGGTAGATATTGTCGGTATATTGGTGTTGACCCGGTACAGCACTGGCAATGGATCTCAGACTCAGATGAGACGGTCCATTTCCTGTATGCATTTTTTGGCTGGCGGTGTGACATCCATTGTGGCAACTACCAGATTTTTTGATTATTGTCGAGGCTCTCGTGACATCGGCCGACTGCACGTACTGACCAGTGCATATCTTCTTCAGAAGACGGTGAAACACGACTTTGAGGAACCGAGTACGCCAAGTATCCATTTCTTCACGGTCCTCCAGTTGTAAAAGTAGCCTGTAAGACTCAGCTATGGGATGATCCAAGTTGAGATCGAGGGCGTCCTCCTCAGTGAAAAAGCTATGAATGTTGTCTTTCCATTGTGGGATAAATTTCATCAAGTTCTCAGGCACGTCGTCAGACACGTTGTCAATCTTGGGGAGCGTCGCATATTTCGCAGATTTACGACGACTTTACTCTCAGTAAGTCCCATATTGATGAAGTTCAATGATTCCCGTAGTCATTGGCACTATCTACCCTGCACATGCTAAGCCACGCGTCCGCAAATGCCAATCCCGAACACCCCCTCCTTTTCGGCCAGCAAGCAAACACCTACTGCGTCTGTAGTCCAGCCATTTTCATTAGTTCTAGGCCAATAAATCCATGGCACTCTGTAAATTGTAAGCTCGCGAAGTCATCTAGAATTCCATTAATGAAAAAGCGCCCTTCAGAACATGCAAAGCACGGTGGACCAATTGATCCTTGATTTTGATGAGTAACTATACCTTGAATAACCTGGTGTATAACTACACTCCAAGAAAGGATTACATTAATCCACGCCTAAGACCCCCACTACACCGCATTGAATACAAGTTATTATTGGGTAGAGTGTAGATAGAAATTGCCTAACCGCCAAACATGAGTCCAAACCTTTTTTGGAAGGCAAGCAATCTTCGAAGCCGCCAAAAGGAATTGGCTCGGATTAGGATTTACTAATACCCGCTCCGAACACCAAAACAGACATAGCCATAGGGAAGGCGGCTAACGATCTCCTTTCATTATTGCATATGTTGAATGACCTCAATACACCTTCACTACCCTCCATTATCTTGCAATTTCGGGCTATCATCTGATCACTAACATCTGCTTGTGCTATCGAACGTTTTTCAATACGAGCCAAAAATTGTCAGTACATCTGCCAAACTGGTTTGGCATCAACACTCCTTCACACGCGTCTTGCGGATTCCATGGCTAGCAATGATATTCCAGATTATAAAAAACTCTTTCTGGAGGCGGAGAAACAACGGAAACAAGAAGAGGAGCGATGGAAACAAGCAGAGGAGCGATGGAAACAAGCAGAGGAGCGACGGAAACAAGCAGAGGAGCGACGGAAACAAGCAGAGGAGCGACGGAAACAAGCAGAGGAGCAACATAAACAAGAAAAGGAGCGACGGGAACAAGAAGAGAAGCGATGGAAACAAGCAGAGGAACAAAATCGACCAATGACCTTTGGCGAGCTCATTCGATATGGCCACAAAATCGTCGCTAGATCATTGAGAGTCGCAAACCAATCTCACTGCACTTCAGGGAAAATATCAGCACCAATTGGAAAAAAGTGCCCAGTAAAACTGCACCTGTGGACAGAATGTCAATACCAGCAGGAAGAAATCTATCACTCTGTTTGTACACATCTTGGATCAACAGGGGATACAGCACGTCGGACTTTTCCACCCCTTGTTGTGCTGGAGTATGAGGGACAAAATGTCAAAGAGGGACTGATAAGCAGTGAATGGGACCTTGAGAGCTATGAGCAATCTGTTGTTGAGAATCATGTACAGAACATAATTGCAGAGCTTTGCAAGATACCTACCGCTCGAGATGAGTTCTGTTTGGGTGATGGAGTCCAGTTCAACAGCCATGCCAATAGCCTTGATTTACAGACAAACCAACCATCAAGATCCAGGTCTTCCAGGCCTGATCAGTATTGCATACACCGCATTGACGATGGTACTAGCGCACTTCTTACCACAGTTGAGTACAAGCCTCCACACAAGCTACCTGTTGAGAGCCTTCACAGAGGTCTTAAATCAATGGACTTCTGGGAACAGGTAGTCAAGGCTCACAGCGTCCCTAATACTGAGGATGAGAAAGCTGAAAGGATTGTTGGGTCAGTGATCACCCAAGAGTACCATGTGATGATCCAGGAAGGACTCGAATATTCATATGTGACTAATGGACTTGCATTGATCCTTCTGCGGGTCCCCTATGACGACCCAGGCACTCTGTATTACCATCTCTGTGAACCGAATTTAGAAGTGAACTCAGAAGATGATCAGAGTTTTCTGCAGCCAGCAACAGCTATCGCTCGGGTATTGTGTCTCTGTCTGATGAGTTTTCGCTCATGTCTTCGTAGCCAACAGTGGCGAAATGAAGCAGAGGCACAGCTCCCAACCTGGAAGTCTAGCTTTGATGACACTCAGTCTCCAGTCTCTGAAGCTGAATCACTACGAAATACCCTGAATTCAAAGGACCCTTATTCTAGCCCCAAGTCCACCACATCTGAGTATCAGCCACCGTCGTCATCCTCAGTGGAGTCCCCCACTGTTAAGGGACGCCGAGCGCCAACCCAGTCTCAGCCTGGCTGTTCACCTTCTACTACAACATATTATAATGAATCTTCAGATCCTGATTTGGATTTTGAAGCTTCAGGTCAAAAAGGTCAAAAACATGGTCTCAGCGAGATCAGTTCATCGCCGGTCCAACGAACGGTACGCTGGGCGGGTTCGCAACATACTTCACAGTCAGACGGTCGACATAGGCAGCATGACGCAGACTTTTGTACACAGCGCTGTCTATTGGGCCTGCAGCTGGGTGGTCAGCTCGATGATGACTGCCTGAATGTGTTGCTCCATAAACAGAGTGAAGACAGTAGGCTGCATGCCATTGATTTGACAACTTTGGTGCGGTATGTGAAGAAACAATTGGATAAAAACATTGACCGCAACTGCACGCCAATGGGAAGCTGTGGAGCATCAGGAGCGCCATTCAAGGTCACCTGTGCTGCATATGGGTACACCGTTGTTGGAAAAGGCACAACCTCCTGCCGGTGGCCGGAACTCTTGCGCGAAGCTGAGGTTTATCGTGTCCTGCAGCAGGCTCAGGGTTCTGCAGTTCCTGTTTTCCTGGGAGCAATTGACCTGAAGAAGACCTACTTCCTCCATGGGGCTGGGGCAATTCGGCATATGCTACTTATGGGGTGGGGTGGGAAGCCTATCAGCAGTATCGAGAATATGCCTTCTTGTCCAGAATTCAATGGGGAAGAGTTGAATCGTGAAATCTCGAGATCTGTAAAGAAGATCCGCTCTCTTGGAGTTTTGCATGAGGACCTTCAACTGGATAATATTCTATGGAACACTGAGCTGCGACGGGCACTGATTATTGATTTTCATTGGGCTAAATTGGATCGTCGACCGAAGAGAAAGCGGATGCCTTTGTGTGGGGCAGAGACACGGCCACTAAAATGACTTCATACCATTTGCTAATAAGATTTGTACATTATCGGAGCATTCATTTGAGAAGATTTGTTCCTGGAGTGTTGTGAACCGGAGTTTTTTGACATGGGATTCATTATTTCTTTTTACGACGACTGGCGCTTTGGAACACAAGTTGATAGAGGCCGTAACCTAATTTAGTGAATTATTATCAAAGAGTCCTAAAGTCCACTTGTTAAACTGGTCGTCCACCCGGCGGGGTAAACTATGGTAGAAGCGTGATAGAGTGTATATGGAGGTATATGTATGTAACAACTTCGGTAGTAATAGCCAGTGCCATTGGTGATTAGACTGAACGCTGGTCTCTAACGTTCGCCCAGCGGTCTCCCTAAGGAATGTCGGGGTCACGTGCCCGCTCCGGGCGGCCCTGTACCTAAACGGGTTACGACCGCACTATTACTACTTCGGCCTAGTGCCAGTAGACCTTCGGTGCTTGTCTAATATACATGCGTTCCGCCCTATGTCCGTAACACCACTCTAGGGTCGAATAGACTACATTAGCTGTAGCCAGTCTATTATTTACCATCTAAATATCGACATGCATGCCTTCAAGCAGCAGCGGAACGTGCTGGGGATAGGAGCATTGGCATGGGCGGACAAAGTAAAACCAGGCATGAATGAGGCAAATGTGCGAATGAGCAGAGAAGGATTAACATCCACTGATTTGCCGATGAAGTAGACCGATGTGATGAAATCAATTGGTTTGGTGTTTCTGTACAAATATTCCGCAGGATCTATGCACTGACCTCAAGAGTCATTCGCCTTGAGTTGATTGTCGTAATGACATTTTATCCAAGCTCTACACAGTGATTGCGGCACAGTTGGCCTCACAGGCACAGCGCTTAAAACGGTCTCCTGATTTGCTGAACCACTGCGCCAGGAACACGGCGTAGTTGGTGATCCGTCCGGAACCACCCGGAAGGTGGAGACACTAATGTTTAGTTGAAGCAGCGATGGAGGGCGACTTTATAGAGCACGCACAGCGATGCCAAGCGACAATGGGACGCTAAACCTAAACAGGCACGCTATACCACTTCTAGTAATTCGCCGTCACCCAAGACTACGCCGTAGTTGCTGATCCGTCCGGAACCACCCGGACGGTGGACACTAATGTCAAATCTTTAAATATAACTAGATGTCGAGCAGTTCAGGCAAGGATTAGCCCAATATACTTCCGACATTATAGAAACAGCATGAGTGGATGTAGGATAATGTCTCATACTTGGCGCTAATATTCACTGCGGCATAGTTCTAGCTATCTGTATGTTTACACTGCCACGATCCTTTACGTTGTATGAGTCGGGTCACCATCCATTCTTATCTGAACTGGTCAACGCCATGCTACATCCAGAAAGGAATTGAGGCATACGTGAGGGTGACCAAAACTCACGTGCCAAGGGGCCGGCTGTAATAAAAACATGCTATTATTGAGCATTCTGAGAGCAGAATGTAGAAATCCAGATGCATTAGATATATCACTTAGTACAATGCACATGATCAATGAGAACAAGGTCCAGGTATGTCAACATACAGCCCCAAAGCATCTTTACAATGTCATCTAGAACAGAACTTTGCGAGAAGCATTGATACCACTTATATCCCATCTTTCTGGGGCAGTCCGCTCCATCCATATCGACCAATCTCCCCAGAACGCGCGCCTCATAATCTGCGCATACTCCCAATAATCCGGATACCAGCCCGCATACTCCCAGTCAATAACCCCTGTGATGTTACCGTTCTCATCAATCATGATGTTTCAAGGTGCGATATCCCCATGCGTGAACACAGCACGGTCAGATTTCGGCAGCATGTTGGGTAATTCGTGTTCGTACCGACTACCCCCGCAATGGAGATAGCACTCGTAGATACAAGCCCGTAGGCCTGAATCGCTTGTTAGGGGTCGGGGTGGTGATTGTAGATCTTCTAGTAAGGGGTCTTCTGAGGGGGAGCCGTCTGCAGCGCATTGGAATATACCCTCGTATTGAGATGGGACGGACCGGATTTCGGAGATGAGATCCCAGGTTTGACGACAAATAGATTCTTTGCTTTTTTTCGTCCATCGTATCCCATGCCCCTTCTAATGGAGACCCCTGGACAAGGGACATCTCAATAAACCCATTGTACTCGGAGACAGGCGGGTGGGGGACGTCCAGGGGTGCAACGGCTCAATGCCAGGCAAACAGTGCCAACATGCCAAAAGATGCCATACGAGCAATATGGGCAAACAAGGGCTCAAGCCGCACCGCACAATGGTCTATAGAGACTGTACTCGCCCAGATAGATTTCCTCTTCTTCTTCTTCTTCTTCTTCTTCTTCTTCCCCAGATTCGATATCCTCGTCGATGGCTACAATAGTTTAGATAGGAATTCAGTTCGTTATTATCTACTATTCCGAGCCCGTGACATTAATCTGCTTTCCTGTTGAGGATCGTGCTCCAGTGTACCTGTATCGCGCCTGGACTCCTCCCTGGATAGTGCTCCGAGAATAACCTTGCGATCTCTGACCAAGACCGACTCTTGTCTTTCTTCAGATTCAGTAGAAATTCCGCCTCTTCTGTGGACCACGGCGTTTTCTTTCTTGAGCCTCCTCGGGCGGCCTTCCTGCAATCATGCCGATTTTGTTTGGTCTCACGCGGGGTACTTGAGTGACTTGTTGCCAGCACATCTCACCCTTCACATGCTGTCGGTGAAGAGCTAGACATGCAACGTGGTAGAGCACCTTCAAATAGCCAAGAAAGGAATTGCAAACGATCGTCAAGCGGGGCAGACATGGCAACATAGAGGAATCTTGAAGCTGTTTGCAAGCTCGCCCATCTGATTGTTGCGTCTTCCACTTAGAACTTTTGGACTGTCCATCGACATGATAGTTTCCACGGACACCATTGGGGGAGGATGCATCGGCATCAGTGTTACATTGGGAGGGGTGCAGTTGTTGATGATCATGAATGTGAGGGCGGTCACTTGTCTGATCATTACCATTCTGACCACCAGCCCTTTCGTTGGAATCTCGATAATGGTTAGGTAGGCTGTGAAGAACAGGCGGAGGATCAGGATATGGACAAGTCATCTCTGAATTGATGACGCTGTCGGCTTGTGGGTCAGATTGCTGGAGATTGCCATCCTCCCAAGGCCAGTGGTTGGCAAGGATTACCGGGTCAATGGGAATGTCGTCCTGTGTATCAGGAAGCCTGAAGAACTCTTCTAGACTGTTGTCCGAACTGGATATACTGGGAGATGATAGACCATTCTCTGGAATATCTTCCCGAAAGGCGGGCGGCTCGGTTGGGATACTAGTATCGTCTCGAAGATCGCAGCGGGGAATTGGATCCAGATCTGAGATGTGAGGCGCTGAATCATGGGGAGATGTTGTGCCGTGCTCAGGATTCTCCGGACATGTATTAGGTTCAGGTACAGATAATTCCGGTGGTTGAGATTGAGAGCTTAATTCTGTACACAGTTGAGTGTTCGCACTGATATGCACGCAAACTTCGGCCGGTGGCCGCGCAGGGAGGTGGTGCTTGGGAAGTGGCAAAGTGCTTGAAAGGGAATCATGATAAGGCTTAGGGTGGGGGGATTTTTGGGTCCTTGGGGAATCCAGACCATGACCCTCTAACATTGCCATTAGAATGATGGGAGCGACGAACCGCAATTTCTCAGGACAAGCTGGAGATTATACATCCACATGTGACCCCGCCTTGGTGGTCAGGTCTGAAATCCCATGTAGCAGAAACTCAGGAAGCTGCTCTAGCAGCTCACAATGCCACCTTACACAGCGGAGCCAACATTGTCGCGTACACAGATGGCAGTTTGACAGAACAGGGAGTTGGAGCAGCAGCAGTTTCACCTCTGGGGCACAAGGCTGTCCGCATTGGCTCCCCAGCTACCCACACAGTATATGCAGCGGAATTGCAGGGCATAAAAATGGTGCTTATCCAAATACGCAATGCAGGCAGACTAGCATTGCAATGTTCCCATCAGACCTATACAGCAATCATCTTTACAGACAACCAGGCGGCAATACAAGCATGCTCAGCTCCAGGAAAGTCTTCTGGCCAATATATCCTGAGTGAAATTACACGCACTGCATCTCAACTACAGGAACATGGCTGGGATATACAACTGTATTGGCTCCCAGGTCATGAAGGCGTCTACAGCAATGAATGTGCTGATGCTCTTGCAAAAGAAGCTGCTAATTCCCCAGCACCCAATGGCGTGGAAGAGCTCACTCTCATGGCCAGCACTCAAAGAAGCCTCCACGTAGAAGCAACCAGTGCATGGAAGACTGAATGGGCTGCTTCCACCCATGGGAGCTCTCTCCGTCGCTTATGGAAAGAGCCTTCAAAAGCACCAATGCAACTATACCAAGGCCTTCAGAGAGCCGCTACATCAGTTCTCATTCAAATGCAAACTGGAAAGATTGCGCTGGCTGGTTATCTTGGTACCTTCAAAGCTATGGAATCAACTGAATGCGCCTGCGGACGTGGCCTTCAAGACATACGCCATGTTCTCCTCCACTGTACCAACCAGGCAGGACCACGGACACGCCATCTTACACAGGGGTCAAGGCGGGAGCTGGATTACTGAGCTTACCTAACTTGGCCAGACCTGGTACCAAAGGTGGTACAATTCATGCTTGAGACAGGTCTTCTAAGCCAGTTCCAGGCTCTACCAACCACATACTGAGTCACAACAACAGACACGAAGCAACTGGCAGCATAGTGCAGCTGAGGTTACATGCTTGCAGAAGTAGGGAAGGAAATGAGATAGTATCCAACAGGCCCATGGACCTTCGTGGCCATGGGAACAGCAGTACAAAAACAGTAGCACGGGACATACAACACGCGGAATAACATTATCAGGATGTATGTAGAAAGGCGATGATGTACATAGCGATTACCACTACGGCGGCTTACCCGGCCGCCCCGCAGGACCTGCCGCCACTCGGCCTATAGGGCTGACAGATGCGTGTATGAATAATAATAATAATAATAATAATAATAATAATAATCATGGATCTGTGAGATTTTAGCAAAAACATTAACCCAACTGGCTGCAGCATGTTTTGCATCATCCGCGCTTTTCTCATATTCCTGATTTTATTTTCCTCCCTTCCCCTTTGCAGGTTTGCTGCTCTCGCCTTCCTTCCCTTTCTTCTTGCCATCATTCTCGCCCTTGGCCTCACGAACCCGTTTCTCATACTCCTCCTTGACATTGTCGTATGAACATACATGGAACCCTCCGGCGGACTCATTGATCATGATTCCCTTACTTTTATTCTCCAGTGTTCCATCGTGTGAGATCGTGCCGCAATAGTATCCCTCATTCTGTGTGAACAGAGCGCGAAATGGGCCAGGCCTTCCCCTCTGTTTCTTGTTGCTTTCATAGTCATACTTGCCATCCTTGAAGACAGGGTATTCAAGCATTTGCTTGCCATTGCAGTGGGGGTCAAGGAGTCCCTGTTCGCGGAAATTGGTATTATCACCATATACATGCGGATAGCAGCTCCCAACGCATTTCTCCTTGGGAATGTCTTTGATCTGGTCTTTGATCTTGTTCACGTCGAGTGTGTTTTCAAGACGGGATTTGACCACGTTTAGACAGAAGATGGGCTGCCTCGTTAGCTGGGATACTGAGTGGAGGGTGTTCAATGGCTTACTTTAGGGGCTACAGCTGTTGCTTTTCCTTTACCACGGACTTCAAGTGGAGCTGCAAAGATAGAGCTAAAGAGGAGGGTAAAGGCCAAGAAGAAAGTTGTGTTAACCATCTTATTCAGCGTGTCAATTGAGAATATATTTGATTGTAGAAAGGAGTATTCGGTTCGGAGAGGGAATGATTGGGAACGATTTAAGATTGATGATACTCCAAACCTAGAAATATGAAGCCCTTATATGTTCAGTCCATCTGAACAGGGGTGATTTGGTATATGCCTTGGTATACAATACATGGGATCAATGTCAGGCTCATAGGCCTACGGCCCCCCAAGGCGGAATCTTATGTGACCTATTTTATGGTTAAACAAAAGGGAGGCAAAAAAAAAAAAAAAAAAAAAAAAAAAAAGGAATAAAACAACATAGAAATTAAAATAAAGAATAAAAAGATAGTTACGTTTGAATCCAAATTTTTACATAGAACTGCATTCCTATCCTTGTTAATATGGTTGTGTTATGTATAGTAAGAAAGTGCTTGTCACAACCTGGCTTCTCGTATCGTACCTAAGCTTCTAGTTAGCCAAGTCTCGGGGTGTGGCACACTTACTGCGTGCCCGTCAATGACTCGTAGTATCTCGGCAATCGTAAGGTCAACTATCCGGTTCAATTATGCGTTGCTGGGTATATCGCCCCGCCAGGCTCCGTAAGACACGTGAATCAATAAGGTAACGATTAGAGAAACAAGGCTAATTGAGTACGTATACTAAATTCTTGGTTAAGTGCGGACGAGTCAGAACTAGAAAGATAACCAATGCTAAATTACTTGTAATTGGTCACGAAGAACTAAGCTAAGTACATCAATGAGTGTCCTTATATATCCATCCTGTTGTATACTATCTGTGGTAAAGGTAAGGTCGCTGTGTGCCATTTAGTAGTAGTAGTAGTAGTAGTAGTAGTAGTAGTAGTAGTTGCTATTTGATACAGAATAATGGTCGGACGAGACCAGCAAGGTACCGAAGGTCGGTACACGTTTGACAGCTAGTGTAGAGACAAGCGCTTGCCAGCAAGCACTCGTAAGCGTACGATAGTCAAGAATATAGATGTATTCCTTATTGTCAATTGGATGTATATCCTCTAGTCACTACTCTCATACAGTGGTCTTGTACAGTCTCTGACAATCGACTCCCCAATACTGATCCTGAGCTAGTACTCCACTTTCAATTCTGCCTTGACACCGCTGGGCTATAGGTCCTCCGATCGGCCACCCAATCACACGCTACGTGTGCCTAGACTGCCCCCGCTTAGGCCCGATAGTGATAGCCAGCGGCTAGAGTAGCCCCTTAGTCAATCATGATAAGGAATAATTAACTAGTTAACTAACTATAAGGAATTTGTCAGGCTCGGTAAGCGGGCCGACTATTAGTCCGTCCTTTAACTTTCATCAATACCTAAATACGAAATAGAGGGTGTACCCCGGAGTAGCGCCAGCACCACCCTTTTTCTACTTGGCTCCACTAATAACCATCACTCAAAGCAGTAACTATTGCTTGTTTTCTTGGCCCCCAAGTGACTGTACGCAGGGCTGATTCCATCGTCAGCGGTGTTTTGAGAAGGGAACACAGCCCCGTTGTACCGCCGCAGATCAGATGTTAGCTTATAAACAGTGAACTTGCTTGTTTGAAACAGCAAAACTAAATTGACTGATTATTCTCAATATGAATCTTCTTGAACTACCGCCTGAAATATTCCACTCAATCATTAAGACTTGTGTTGCTTCTATACCATATTCTGGACAACATAGGTCTGATATCAAAGCACTCCAACTTGTCAACAGTAAGGATCCCTTGAAGTTCCCATACCCTTCAAAATATCTTACTAATAGGTGGTTAGAGCTCTTTTATCAAGAGGTTTCAGAGGCTCTTTGCATTATAGACCACAGCTTTGCTTTTAGGAATTTGAGTTCCACATCTCGCTACCTCCAACGCTGGGTATTCAGCTCGAACACAAGCGACAGTTATCTTAAACGCACTATTGAATATGTCACTGGACAGATCATGAGACACAATGATTCTAGTCCTGATGACCAAGAACAACTGTCTTTGGTTATCTCACGAGCAGCCGTTGACTTCATTGGCCCTGGGTTAGACCGAATCTTGCGAGGAGAAAGAACACATGAACTCAAACCACCCTGTCATGATGACCTATATTACATTGTTGGCCTTGATGAGTATAGATTTGACCAGTCAATGCGACATGGAGTTGGCCAGACCAGTGATTCACCAGAGCACATTTTGTCTTCAGCAGCCTACCTGGGAGATATCTCACTGGTTGAGCATCTGCTGGTACAGGGTGTGGATGTTAATGTTAGAAGTAACATATTTGGCTTTCCATTACAAAATGCTGCCTCAAAAGGCCATTTGGAACTTGTTCAGTTTCTGCTTAACAAAGGAGCAGATGCTGGGGGTGGGAGCTGGCCCCAAACTGAAGAAGGTCAACAGGCAGTGGAAAAGAAACATGGAAAAGAGGATATTGACCAATGTCTCTGTCTCCCTGACTTCTACCAGCCAGCTCTTACTCCCATTGAAGCAGCAGCTAAAGGGGGCCATAAAGAGATACTCCAACTCCTTCTACAACCAAAGTTTCACATCTCACGATCAAGTTATACCTATCGAAGAGCAATTGTGCTTGCAGCTGAGGGGGGAGATGCCGATCTTTTAGAGATGCTTGCTGTGACTGCTGATTACAGCACTCTCTCAGAGAGATCACTTCTAGAGCTATGGAACTGTACACTTCGGCATGCTGCACTGCATGGCAAAACAGAGACCATTTCCCTACCACTGGAAAAGGGTGCGCAGATTAATCATGAATATCATGATTTTGCATATTCTACACCATTGGGATTTGCTTCTCATAATGGGCATGACCAAATGATTTTGTTGTTACTGCAAAGAGGAGCTGATATTAATGGTGGATGGGAAGATCCTCTTTTTTCAGCTACCTGGAACGGCTTTGCCCACACTGTGGAGTTGCTTCTAGACCAGGGAGCTGATACTCATCATGTTCAATCTCGGTGTTTAGAAAAGGCAGCTGAGTATGGAGAAGCAGATGTTGTTCGGCTTTTCTTAGAGAGAGGTATACATCAGGCTCCTGATTATCTCAGTGAAGGGAAATCTGCATTGAAATGGGCGAAGTCTACTAGCCACGAGCGTGTTGTGAGAGTTCTTAGAGAATTTGGGATTGCTGAAGATACAAGTACGAATTGACAGGGTGTGTCAGGCATAATCAGGATAATGGAAATTTCTTCATGGCTTCTACCTAAGTAGTTATCAACGAGAAAGTTCAACATGACGGGGAAAGAAGAGGAGTAGAGGCATTGCCAATTGTTGCATTAAGGTATATCTTTTGATAATTGCTGAGACAGTAGCCTGTCAGTGAGGCAGTATACTGTAGGCGAGGCATACTTTGTAATCTCACTAGCTGCTGGGTGGGTGGCGCCAGGCCGTGTCAAGAGATCTGCGGGGCTCAAGATTCAAGAAATTGTCACGGAGAATGGGCGCTCACCAGCGGCATGATATGTTTGACTAATTTGGTCTGTTTGGATATAGGGCAGGAACACCTTCGCACACATTAGATAGCTCAGCGCTGGCAGGCCCAGCTTCTTTCCTTCTTCATGTTAGTATTTCTGTAAACGCTTGGTGTTGAGCTGACCCCGTCCAAGTTGGAGGAAGTCAAAAAGGCGATCAACTTTTCAAACATGAAGAGCAATGAATTCAGTGGATTGGGCGACGTCAAAGAGCTGGGCAGCACGTTCTTCCGCAAGGGCCAGGTGGGCTCGTGGAAGGAGCAGTTTACTGTGCAGCAGAATGAGGCTTTTGATCAGCCGTGGGCAGAGCGGATGGGATCTGAGAAGCTGCCCTGGAGTTTCTCTTAATGGAATCATCGACAGTGTGTTTCAAGGATATAGACCACAAGGTAGCTAGATGAGCTACAGGGGTGTGTACTATGTACATATAAACACAATATTTACTTCGTATTTCTCGATCCGAATCGCATACGTAGGTAAAAATGAGACGATAAAAACAATTGAACCAATTTGATGCCCGTGGCAATGTAATGAGACCAAATCAGTGCAAGAAGAGAAAATAAGATAAAATAGATTGGGCATCGATCAATATTCGGTCCTGAAAGTCGGCCGCTTGGCCGATCAAAAAAGCTATTTTTTCTAAAACAGTAGCTCCAAGTGGAAGTTCACTTGACAATCCAGCGCCTGCAAGCCCTGATTACCTCCAGCATTTTCGTTTTGCCGCAGTTATTCGTCGGCCACTTCTCAGTTTCGCGTAATGTACCTGGAGTGATCCTTTACTACTACTACGACCTGGGAAGTGCTGTGCAATGTCGTCCCATATCAGTTTGTCCGATTCCCTGAGTTGAAACAGCTGCCTGTCCTCCTCCGGAGAGAACCGGACACTTTTCAAAGATTGCCTTTCATTATCGTCGGTATAAGGAGGAAATTCGATGCGGGTTGAATTTGATTGTGATGCAGTGAGTTTGGCAATAAGCGACTGGGAGAAGTCTACTCGGTAGAAGATATCTGGAGCACAAGCTCGCAGTGTGAATGAACCTTGAATTGGGATCGACTCACTCTCTTGCACAAAATCTGGAAGGGCTGATGCTAAGGCGGTCAACAGCTAATGACCAGCTGCTTATGCTGGCAAACACTGCCAATGGAGCAATATGAGCAAACGACGAGCTATAGCCCCGTCATATGTGACCGCATGATGGGTAGATTTTTCCTTTGTCTTGCCTGGCGGTTTTCTTTCTTCTTCTTCCTCTCCAGATTCGATATTCTCGTCGATAGGTTACCTAGTCTAGATATGAATATTATTCATTTTATCTACTAGTTACCGAGCCCGTGACAGTTCTCCTCTCCCATTCAGCAACAAAACAGGATATATTGCGACGCATTGAATATTGAGAAGGTATGTCTTTGCAAGTAGCAACAAAATCCTTCGCAAAGAGTTTTAGTGTTTGAGCAAATGGATCAGGCTCTTTTGCAAAAATTTTTGCTCTCAAGTTTGTCTTGAGATAATCGCCAACTACACATTTATTAGTTGTTCCAGATACAGTCAACCTGCATTACTTACAGACACCAGTTCTCAATTGCCCTATAATATGTGGCTTCAGTGGCAGGAGCTGTTTGCTTTAGGCAAACAACATTGTCTTGCTCGTCTGTCCCACGTTGATAAGCTGTGGTAAATCCCCGAGTGTGACGACTCAACGCCGCATCTACGCCAACATCGACAAACATCATCAATATGGCAAACGATGCTCCCGAGACAATCAAGACAAACACTACCACACGAACCCTATAAAATCTCTTCCTGTAGATAACTTTCTCTTCGCCTCCTTTTCTCCAGATTCGATATTCTCGTCGATGGCTGCACTAGTTTAGATAGGAATATCATTTCGTTAGTATCTACTAGTCAGAGCCCGTGACAGTCTGAAAATTCAGATAATTTGAGGACATCAGGATCTCAAGGAGATAACGGATGGCTGTGGTGGCATAGTAATGGATTGAAGACTCTAAACCAAACTCCTTCAAACCCAGGGTTGTGAAATGATGGTTCCATCCGGTGCTCCGATAAAGGAAGACGAGTCCATGCATGCATAAAGCCTCGTACAGTAGCGCCAGGGAAGGGATGGCAGAGTAGGGGTCCTATTTGTAAAGCTGCAGCTCCAGCCTGGATTCTTGAACAGGGTCACTTCATTGCAAGTCGTCCAGGATCTGCTGAAAGCAACGACCCACGTTGGCCAGGATGAAGAGAAACTCAGTACAAGAGCCATGCATTGGGTGATGCCAGTGGCCCATCCTGTGCACCATGATAGAGAAGCCTAGCGTATCTAACTTCAGATTTATCAGAAATGCACACGACATATCAGAATAGAGATACGTCCTGAAACAGAGTGAGGACAGGTAGTCATTCTCAGAGAGTAATGAAGTGTTCTGGAGTATTCGATTGACCAGAGGCCGTGCAGTAAACAGATTTTGCTTCCTGAAATCAGCCACTTCGCATTCAGCTCCATGCGACAATGCCAGCAGCATCATGGTAAGGAGAGACGTTAATGGTGTGGTCTGTAGCTGTCCTTTCACAGAGATACCAGAGCTTTCCCTCATTCCTCAAGGGCAATCATAGGAGCATACGGGGGGAAATACTGTTCATGACAGGCACTTATTGACTGAACGACGTTTAACAACGCTGCCGATTCCGAGATGTATTCCAGAGCCAGAAAAGAGTAGGGGTTATCCTCGGGGTCAATCACCAACATCTGACTAACATTTTCCAACCAATATTGGAGAAGTCGTCGGTTTCCATCGAGGAGTCCATCCACGATGAGAACCAGGGTGTTTCTGACTGCCACTGTGTCAGGCGCGGAGCCAAAGAATGGACCAAACCCCGGCGTAAGCAACATTGGCATGTTGGGATTGTCTCATCACATTTTACCTGCTTTGCTTTGCATTGTCGACAGCCAAGATTACTCTTTGATAGTTGCCTTGAATTTGATGATTCTTGATGCACAGTGACTGCTGGTGATGTATGGTGCATTTGACACTGATCCAAACCGCAAGCGAAAGAAGGACATGTTCTCATGTGATAATATTTCATACGGTGTTTAATATTCATATCGGACTTCCCTAAAGATCTCGCGAACCCTGACCTGGTTTTCCATAGGCTGCTTTCCTAAGGAATCTTTACCTCTAGCAACTTCCTGCTGTCTTTGTATCTGTACCTGTAAACTTCCATTGCGAGGCTGAAAGTTCAATAATGGACAGCGAGGTTTGGTTTAATATTTGGAGAGTCCTGGCAGAGAACTGTAAAACACGTTTCCAGGGCCAAGCCTGCTCTTCAAGCGCCTGAGCCGCTGCCTTGCGTTTATTTCGCCTTGAAAGTATCTACTTTGCTCGGCCTGCAAGTTCCTCCCAGCTTCGCTCACCTCCCAAAATGACCAAGACGTGGAAATCCAATGCCACCAACATCGACTACCCCTAGGAGTGGACTGTTTACATGAGTGGTGAAGGGTTTCTGCTGGCCATAAGTACGGTTACTGGCCAAGAAATGGCGGGATCTAGCAAGGTGGAGATTGCGTATGAAGGCTCCATCAAGGTGACGGGTCGTCTGTTACCGGCTTCGGTGTGGTTGAAATGGTTACCGTTGCCTAAGACTCTCGACCATGAAGTGGCTTGCCCGCTTGAGGACATACAAAGATGGAGACGTAGGGTGGGAGTGGTGTTTTCTGGCATATCCGATAAGATTGGGAGTTTTAGGGAGGGCTATAGTCGATTTAAAGAAATAAGGACGGTTCTACTGAAATCACGATGCCCGTAATGATGATAGTGCCTGAAACAACAAATGAGAACCTGAGAAGTTTCATATAACAAGGAAAGAAATGGAAAATGAAACAGCAGCAAAGCACATTGAAAGATGGCACTTCCTGATCCCTTACTCGAAGAAAACTTATATCAGCCATATCAAGTAAGTGGCCAAGGTTATTCGTAGTATCTTGAAGAAGACCCCGGTAAAGCTAAGGCAATGCCCGCTTCAATGGCAGTTAAAAAACACGCTCGAGATCGTTGAGATTGTATTTCTGAGATGGTCTTTTACTCTCAACTTCCATTTCAGTCGGATATGGGTAGGTCGTTTCTGGGCATCATGGCTCAACTGACCTCAGAGACATATCATTATCCCTATACGAGACACTACTTTAGCTCTGGCGGTTGCCGCTCTGGAGTGTATTAGGACTGCGTTGGAACCGAGACCATTTCTTGCCTCGCTCTTCGACCATTCGTAAGTGGTAACTGCCGATTTTACACCTGGACTAGTATGTACGTCACACTGCCGGACAGAATGACATCGCAGCCCTTGAAGCCTGTGGACGGGAACAATGCTGCTCTACGATGATGCGTTTTTTTTTAGGCGATTCCTTCAGGCTGTCGTCTGGTGCGAAAAAAAAAAAAAAATGGTTGAAGAATATAAAGAGGGCTGCGGGCTTGGAGTTGTGCCTTTAAGAGGTTTTTGGTCACTATTCCTGCGAGGAGCGATGATCGTTATATCACAAATATGAGAGATGAAACTGATATTCATGGCAGCCTCATTGTATTTGCCATCTCTGAAGACTGGAACCTGTTGCATAGGAACGGAGTTTAAAGCCCCCGCCTCGTTCTGAGTCCCTGATCGATCGGGATAGCGACGAAATTCGCCTCGGAATCTCGAAAATATTAATATGGCACATTGTAAATAGTACCGGCTATCTTTCTGTACAGATAAATGGACTTGAAGAGTCTTCTTTCGCGCCGCTTGTGCCACTTGAGCCAGGGTATGATACGACTATAAGAGTGAGTATTAGTGTGAAATATGTGACAGTAAGTCCCAAACTTGCGTCCTATAAACTTCTTCCACAATATCCTTGTACCGCACCGTAATGTTCGATGCCAGCCGGGCCAAATGCGCGCATTTACCCAGATCTGATATAAAGTAAAAGCTGGACATTGTCGTACATTAGCTGTAGAGCAAATGCTTGCAATCGAAGGCTGTTTGCAGATGCCCTGTTCGTAAAGCGAATTTATGCATCAAGGTCTTTGTTGCTCCCAAGTTGCAGCTCGAATGGTATGGTGTAAAATTAAGACCAGAGTCTATTGTCGGTCAGCTGCTAGCTCCATCGTATTGGCATCATAACGATTGGGATATATGGTTCCAATAATCGACGAAGCAACCAAATGGAGCCTATGAACAAATTTCTAGTAGCAGAATCGTGTTCGAAAGCATTGGTCGTTCGAAGGTCGCAGGCGTTCTATCATGGTCACCTCTCCATCTTCAAGCGCACTCACTTGGCATTCTGTCTCTTCAAAGATGAAGTACCGTAGACTATGGCAAGCCTAGTATAAGTTAGCACAACTGCATTTTTAGAAATGGAGATGCGCCTCGTACCAGTCTCAGAACTCTATTGCCACTGGCATTCTTTGTTTAGGCGTATAGTTTTGACACTTCCTATCATCATCACCAGCGTTATCATGACCAAGTTTCTTTTTACCTGACTTATGTAGTATGTGCATAGTAAAAGAGAGGTATGGTTTGATTCCAGACTTGCATTCAGTGTACGGAAAGGTTGGGATTGATCAAATTGCGACGGGGCTACCAGTCGAGAGCACTTCCCTGTCCACAATTCAGGAATTTCAATCTCGAAAAAAGTGCATTGATTCTATGCACTCAAGAGTTATCCATAGAGTGAATACCGCAGCCGCCCGCTGGGTGATGTCGGAGAGATCGGAGAAGATAGGAAAATTCCCCGATCTCCGATCCGATCAGCAAAATCTTCTCCGATGTTTTGACTCCGATTCAGGAACAATCGACCAACGGACGAGCCATATATACTAAAATGGGTTCCAGATTGGCAGCATGTGAGCGATGCAGAAAGGCGAAATTAGCCTGCGATCACAAACGACCGGTGTGTACTCGCTGTCGCAACACCAACCAAGCCGGCATCTGCATCTACCGCGATTCACCCTTCAAACGTCGAAGAACGAGCGTTTCGTCGCCATCGGTTGAGCCACAGAATAGGTTAGATAGCCCTCGGTTCTATCCGAAACCGGTACTGACGGCTGTACAGTCTGCGATCGCCGGAGGAGTCGCCGTTGTTCAACGCCCGACAGACCCCATATCCGAATCCTGGATACCTTGGATCTTCGAGCCATGCTGCTATCTTTAGCCATATCTCCCCGGATGGAGATCGCAGCGACACATTCCAAGCTATGCAAGGTAGTCACTCAAATGGAGATGATCACTTAATACAGCAGGGTGCCGATACTCTCCGACAGCTACTGAGCGCGTTCCCACTGAAAGGAATAATCGATCTGGTCTCGTTCTGGCTTGCAAAAGGCGTCAATCTGGCTCTTACAGGACCGTTTGTTGCACAATGTACCGAAAGCATGCACCATCTGCTAGCATGCATGTCGGACGGGAACTGGCATCTGGCATATGCACGACAGTTGCTGCAGAACTCCGCCCGGCCTCTGGAATTTGATCAATCTTCAACACTCGACTCTTTCTCCGCCCAGTTCCTACATCAAAATACTCGATGGGAGACCCTGGGACTATTCTTCTCAGCCGTCAGTCGCGCGACGCTGGATGTGTCCTTCTTCCCCTCTCTATACTCGACGGAGAAAGGACAATATTCTCTTCGTCGCATGGCGATGAAGCTCTGCGATTATATTTTGGACATTTGTTTATCTTTGGACTGTTTGAATGACTTGCAACTTTTATTCCAATACGAAAATTTCATCGTCCACTCGCACGTGGATGGAGACCAGAGTGAGTGATATCGTCGAGCTTGGTCTGCATTTTATTATTAACGAATCAGGTTATCATTCGTGGCGCAGAATCGGGGATGTGATTTCTTCAACATTCGCATTGGGCTACCACGAGGATCTCGAAGCGAAACCCGACGCACCTCCGTTCCTAACAGAGATGCGCAAAACCGCTTCTGCCAGAATTTACTCCGCGGACAAAAACTTGGCCATTTTCCTTGGTCGACCTCCCCGAATGTGCAAGCGGTTTTGTCATCTTCACCTTCCTTCGAGCTGGATAGGGTTCGAGATGTTGGCCTATGGACATACTCCGAATGCTGATGGAGACGAAGAGATTAAAGCTACGTATTGTGGGGATACGCGCTGGTCTGTAATATGCGCCTCGTTGAAAGAGGATATAATGGAGATGCTCCGTGATGTCAAAGACGACACATATATTGAAAGAGCAACGTACGTTTTCATCCTGTTGGAAGTGAACCAAGCTAACGGAACAAGTGCCATTCAAGAAAAAGCCAGAGCTGAATGGGAGGCACTACCTCCCCAATTTCGATTAGACAGCACCTTGAAACAGTTTACTGGGAATCCGTTTGAGCGAGATTTCGTGGCCAGTGTGCGACTCAATCATTTGCAGGTGTTGTTTCTTGTACATCTTCTCTTGCTGGACAGCCCGGCTGAACCAAATGCGTCCATTATAGAGGCGGCGCAAGAAATGCTCTCCCTGGTTACAGAAACTATTCTTCTCCGGGACCGACTTGTCAATTCAGGGACGAGTCTCATCTGGAAGGTAAATACTTGATGTACGGAGATACAATTTCATATCACTAACCACCAAAGGTTGCCCACTTTGGTCTTCCAGCGGCCGGAATCCTACTTCTCGCAATGCTCAGACAAAGAAACAACTCAAGCACTCCGATACCGTGGACAAAGACTATCCAAGACCTCAACGTATTCGTCGCCGAAGTCGAGATAGGAACAATTATTCGACCAGAGGATCCAAACTACGCATTACTATCCAAGGCAACGCAGACTATCCAGAGGTTCCTTGATTCTGTGCATTCGAAGATAACTCCCCAGCCGCGAAACGAGGATTGGACGGCGTTGCTGAACCAGGACCTCTGGGATTCCGAGTTTGCGTTCTGGGATAACATGGCAGGTCATCCTTCACTGGACCCTTTGCCGGAAGTGTAACATGGCTCCGATAGAACCACTAACACTTATCCGACACTTATACGGGCTTCGCTGAGCCAAGTCGAGATCACTCGTGACCTGCATCAGAATATCTAATCACCTTACAGATCAACTCCTCCGATTCAATGTGCGCTTAACCTTTCCAACCGAAGGGATACTACCATACTCGAGAATCAGTCAGGTTGGAACTTAGCCCGGTGGAGTCGACAGATCTCCAGTTCGGCATCTCCACAAACTACCCCACCATGACCTGACGAATGATACTCGGCCGATTGGACATACACCATAGCAGACAACTGCGCTTCCTCTATCCTTTAACCTCCTAATAATGGTTACATGATATCGTCAACCCAAGATGACCGACCAAAAGCGACCGCTATCCCATACCGCGACGAACCTCTACCGAATGTCCCAAACGACCTCGTTATCCCGAATGTCTTGAGCTTGGATTTCGACGAACGACTCTGGGTTCCCAAGCCCCCGATATCTGGTTCCGCCCTCTTGTTTTCTCCGTCTCACAGGGATATTTCGTCAATCTACCCCGTGTCCGCAAATCGGGAATCCTATCGCGCCATCGCCATACCGGACCTGTTCACGCGACAACTCTCCACGGTAAATGGCATTACCTCGAGCATGATTGGTGGGCGACGGAGGGGAGTCACGCGTTTGAGCCGCCTGGTGATATTCATACGCTCGAGGTTCCGGACGGGGTCGAGGAGATGGTGACGCTGTTTCATGTTACGAGAGCGTACATTTACGTTGATCCAGATGGGAAACCTGTGGGGGTGGAAGATGTCTTTTCGAAGCTTGCAAGTGCGAAGATGCATTATGAACGGGTTGGATTGGGTGCGAATTATGTTGATCAGTTTATTCGATGAGCCGTTCATTCTGCAAGGATATAGAATATGCTTCTGGTTTCTTCACATTAATTGCACGACTTTCTATATTAGCACGACTTGTCCCTGATGTATGAATAGAAGATTCTTATGTCTCACTTCGAATTTGTTGTGGGTGACATGTCCAGGATAGTGCGTCCTCAGTCCACGCATAAACTGTTTGAAATGGCTCGCATGCCAGAAAAGAACGATAACGACAAAATTGCTATTCGCGAACACATATCGAGAGAGATAACGAGCAAGTCGAGCTCTAGAGCCAACAGGATGCAGCTCGACACAATAGTAAACGCGTAAAAGACAGTCATTTTAGGCTTCGACGGTCAACACACTCAGGATCGAGATGACGGACCGGACGCCCTGAATCCTGATTCCTTTCCAAGCGCCATTCCTCTGGCTCCGTAATGCGTCGGGCAAGTTGAAAAACTCGAACGAATTCCCTGAGTGCAAAGGCGCCAATGTAGGCAGCGATTGCTTTGATGAGAATGGCAATGGCTTCCTCAAGACTGTTCTCCATTGCAGACTTCCATTTGAATATAAGAGCACGGAATCGAATTCCGTTAACCCGATAGATGATGTCGTTACTGCCTCAGATATACGGTCAGAACGGTCGAAAAGAAGAGGGTTTAATGAGAAATTATACGCTCCTCAACTCTGGGAGCGGTTGCAATACTGCCAAACTTTGGTTCCTGATCCACCCGATCCGAGGATGCAGGTCAAACCCTATTGTGCTGATCAATCACCTCGGGCTTCTACTTTTGTAATTTAAAGACAAACAGGGCCTAGATCTCTGGCGAGGGAATTGGCTTCCCTCATCGCCCAATGTTAAGGTCTCAGGCACAAGTGTGTATTTCGGCACAGGATATACATCCACGTCTCCGGTAATACAATGCCGCCATGACCCCTTGGTCAAGATATGCTCTACGTCCTCTCATCGCCTAGCTGGAATGAGCTCCGTTCCACCATCGGGGCTGGTGGATTGACCTTTCGTATTGTTATCCCAAATGGACAAGTGATCAACTAAACTGCAATTCATTATCTCCTGATAAAAGCCAGACCGTCTCATTTAGCAGGATCAATTGCTTCCGTCCGATCATCTCCCGTTCCAGGCCGAATGTACTCCGGATTTGCATTGTTCTCGTCTGCATGGCATCATGGGCGTCGTTGGGCCGAATACTATATACAAGACAGGGGACTTGGTTCAATTTCGACCGCTCACTGTTTCCCGAGAGTAAACCAGACAATAGAAAAGCTATTCAAGAATAACGGAACACACTGTTGCAAAAAGCTTCTATTCATCTCCCCTCTTCCTTTATCCCCTTTCCCCGACGTCCAATAAGAAGATTGCTCACCGCTGAGACCATTGAGTAAAGGAATCAAGGCCTGGTCTGGGACGGAACTCATCACCGTACGAAAACAAATGCAGACCCTTTGTTCTCCAATCAATCATCCTTGGCCAACTTTTCCAGCTTCGCCCGGCGTGCCCGTAGCATCTCCTCCATAATTTCCGTCTCGATTTTGATAAATGTTTTCTTATCAACCGCTTTGACAGGAAGTTCTGAGTCTGCTTCCATCATTTTCTTCGGGGATTCATGAGTAAACCCGAGCATTTTCCCACAGAACAACACAATTGCGCCTAGAAGAAAGACGGCAAGCACCCCCGGGAGGATAGTTTCGACAAAAAACTCGATGAAAAAAAAAAAAAAAAAAAAGATCATTGTAAAGAAGCGTTTGGAGAAAGGGTCCTTGTCGACCGGTAAATGAAAGGACATTATCGCGAACTTGGAAGACGAATTACAGTGGTTGAAGCAACATTAACTAAAGAAGTTCAAGTTGACGAGGACTTGATGCAAGAGGGAAGGGCCGATACGGCCTAATATTCCTCAGGTTCCCGCTATAGCCTTAGTAAATACGACCGAATACGCAGTACAAGTAGGATTACTCCGCTTATGGAAATACCACGGTGCATTGATTCTGGTTCACTTGTTCTTCTATGCGTTGACCATGATGCTGGGTGAAAAGTCATCCTTGGCAAACTACTGGAGAATGGATCTTAAGGACATTCATGGGGATTGCTACGACAACCAGATTCAGATAGCACCAACGACACTCGTCCCTTTGTCATCGAATCAGCTTAGAAATGAAATAGGGTCTTGAATGAGCAGGACTCAACAGAGTCCCGGCGTTATGGCGTGAACCGAGGACGACCGGGATGCCGACACGATCTGACGCACAGGCTCGGCCCGGCAGATCAGCATCGGGACTGTGGAGCCGAATGACGAACCGGCAGGTCGGTACTACAGAGCACGAGCCCTAAGGATGAACGTTGACATGCGCATGGGATTAAGACGACGATCGATTCCAGATTGTTCTAGTCCTGGGAAACGGTCTGACAGCTTTCTAAGCTTGGTTGTTTTACGTCTCGGAGCAGTTAGAAAGTCCCGAGTTCCGTTCCGCTAACGAGCAGGCCACGACCCGTACTCGGAACAGCCACCCAATAGGAATTCCGATAGCATCATCTCCGAACCGAGCATCTCGGCATGTCAATACTAATCCAGACGAGGGCTAGAATATCGAAGGCAAGGAAGCTGTCATTTATAAATCAGCATGCTGCTCGCTGCGTTTCATCCGATTACTTCGCTCTCAAAGCCTGCTCAGCCCTCGAAGGCCTGCTTGATTTCAGCATTTACCAAATCGCCGCTGCATCTACATAGAAGGCTCAAGAACAACTTCCCCCGGCTCTCGATAACATGTCGGCTGACCCGGTAAGTAAATTGACACCCAAATGCGCTGTGGCTGTCATCAAGCAGAGTGGGCTGATTGCTTCGCGTTGCATTTCAGAAAGGACTCCCCGATACCGACGAGGGAGGACGCGACAGTCTACCGATCTATAGACCAGATGGGCGATCCCTAGGTGTCTCGTTTTCCAACGTCACGGCCGTCGGGGCGAGCGGCTCTTCGCAAACAGTTACCGACCTCCTCAAGATCTTCACGGACATTCTGACATGGCCTGTCAACACCGGTCGCAAGTTGATGAAAGACTCTCCTCAGAAATCGTCATCGATCATCCAGGATGTCACCGGTGTTCTCTTCCCTGGCGAGACAATGTTGGTTCTGGGCCGTCCCGGGGCAGGCTGCTCGACGGTCCTGCGGGTTCTTGCCAACCAACACCAATCCTTCCAAGAAGTGCAGGGCTCGATTCAGTATGCTGGTCTCTCTTCGGCTGAGATGGGAAAAAGATATCGTTCTGAAGCTGTCTACTGCGCCGAAGACGACATACATCTACCTATGCTGCCGGTAAAAGACACCCTGGACTTTGCCTTGCGCCTTCGCAAACCCGAGGCCCAACCCGAATCTTCGTCGCAATTCTCGAAGTGGATGACTGGCCGCATACTGGAATCGCTGGGGCTGTCTCATACATACGATACCAGAGTCGGTGACGCCTTTGTTCGTGGTGTTTCTGGCGGGGAGAGGAAGCGAATCTCTCTGGCTGAGGTGCTTGCTGTCAACCCTGCCCTCGCATGCTGGGACAATCCCATCCGAGGACTCGACAGCTCCTCCGCACTGAGCTTCCTGGAGCTTCTGAGGGACATGTCAAGGCGCACTGGGATGTCCAATGTGGCGACGCTCTACCAAGTATCGGAAGCAATGTATCAATATTTCGACCGTGTCGTCGTCATGTATGAAGGGCAGATGATCTTCTGTGGCCCTGCCAGTCGGGCAAAGGAATACTTCTTGGAGCTTGGATTCCATTGTCCAGAAAGGCAAACTACGGCCGACTTCCTCACGGCAATCACGTCTCCCGCGGAACGGAAATTCCAGAAAACATTCAATGGTCCTCGTTACGACACAGCCGAATCCCTCGCCCAAGTCTTTCGCAGCAGTAATGACTACCGTCTTTTGCAGAAGGACATGATCAGGTACCAGGAAAACATCGCCTCGGACGCGTCTTATACCAGCAATTTCCAGTCGGAAGTGGAAGGGATGCGTTCCAAGCTCAGTCCGAAGTCAGCCACTGAACCATCCTCGCTCGGTACCCAAACTCTCACGGCGTTGCGCAGACAATATCAACTAACTTGGAGAGATCGAACGACCTTGATCACTGTCTTCATTCTAACAGCTGTGAACGCTGTGATCACCTCGTCGGCTTACTACATGGCGCCCAAAACAGCCACGGGCTCATTCGAACGAAGCGGTGCGCTTTTCTTTGCCTTGGTCTACTTCAATCTCAACGCCCTCACCGAGGTCCCGAAAACAATTAGGTCACGCGCTATCCTTCTGAAGCAGCACCGGATGGGATATGCACACCCAGTTGCCCTGGTCATCGCCGGAGCACTCGCTGAGATACCGGTTGCTTTTCTCCAGGCACTCGTCTTCTCATGTTGCTACTACTTCACCATCGGGCTGGACAAGACAGCTTCAAGTTTCTGGATATTTGTGCTCATCGTTTTCACTCACCTTACATGCATCTCGTGCCTGTTTCGCATGCTTGGAGCCTGGGCACCGAATCTCAACACTGGGTTCTTGATGGGCGGATGCGCTGTGCCGGTTACCTGTCTCTATTCAGGATACGCGCCCCCTGTCCCGACAATGCACCGCTGGGGTTCATGGATCCGACGAATCTCGCCGACGCCGTACGGTGTAGAGTCATTGATGGGCAACGAGTTCGCAGGTATCATGCTCCATTGCACGCCTGGCCAGCTCATTCCACACGGATCAGGCTACAACGACATCCAATACCAGGGATGCCCCATGGCAGGAGCGGTGAAAGGATCAGCCGACGTATCGGGGGAAACTTACCTCACTAACCAGTATGGATTCAATGTCAAGTTCCTTTGGCGGGACTTTGGCATTATCCTAGTTATGTGGTTCCTTTACGTGGTCCTGACAGCTCTTGGCCTCAGCATCATGACACGTGAAACAAGCACGTCGAATGCGCGCGCCTACAGACGGGGGGCCAACCCGAGCGGTTTCTTTTCGGAAAAGACAGACGTGGAGGGTCAGAGTCAGCAGCCAGCGGCGCCATCAGCCTCCGGAAGCTCCATCCGGACGACCGTGGAAGAGACGGCAAACCAACGTACTGTTTCGCATTCCAACCAACGTACTTTCTCCTTCCACAACGTCAACTACTTCGTTCACTCCGCCGGACAGGAGCTCCACCTGCTCAACAATGTCACGGGATACGTCAAGCCAGGCCAACTGACTGCTCTTATGGGAGGTTCCGGGGCTGGAAAAACGACACTGTTGGAAACGATCTCTGGCCGCAAGACCGAAGGAAGAACGGAAGGGACCCTCCTTTTCGACGGAAAACCACTTGACCAAGGCTTTTCGCGTGCGTGTGGATTCTGCATGCAGCAGGATGTCCACGAGCCGTTGGCCACTGTGCGAGAGGCACTGCAATTCTCGGCATTCTTGCGACAGTCCGCGGAGACATCTCACGACGAGAAGGTGCAGGACGTGGAGAAGATTATGGAATTGCTCGAGTTGGATCCCATTGCGGACGCAATTGTCGGCTCGCTGGGTGTTGAGGAAAGGAAGCGTGTCACAATCGGAGTTGAACTCTGTGCTCGTCCATCGGCGCTTTTGTTCCTGGATGAGGTATGTTCCGGAATTTGCCTTCATCTTTCCTTCGACTTACTGACGATCAATACAGCCCACCTCCGGTCTAGACAGCCAGGCTGCTTTCTCAATCGTCGCATTCCTCCGTAAAATCGCTGCCCAGGGCATTCCGATTGTTTGTACGATTCACCAACCGTCAAGTGTCATCTTCGAGATGTTCGATCACACCTTGATCCTGGCTCCCGGTGGCCGCACCGTCTACTTTGGCGAGACCGGAGAGCCGCTCAATGGTTATTTCGCTCACCGCGGAGCCGTCATGGGCCAGCAGGATAACCCAGCCGAATTCGTCATCACAACGGTGGCCGCATCACACAACGACGAGAACGGCGCAGACTGGCCGCGCCGCTGGCAGGAGTCCGAGCAATCTAGCGAAGTGAACGATCGTGTGATGTCGATAGCAGAAAAGGCCTCTCCGGACTTTGAATCAGACACTGCCCCGGCAAAGCAATACGCGCTCCCGCTGAGGGCCCAGATCTTCCATTTGACGAAGCGGCAGTGGAAGTCAGTCTGGCGAAACGGACCATACAACTTCAGCAAGCTGTTCAAAAGCGTCTTCTTCGAACTACTGGTCGCATTCACTTTCTTCAAAGCCGGTCCTGACGTTCCCGGATTGCAAAACCACGCTCTGGCCTTGCTGATCGCGACATGGGTGGTTCCGACAATCGCCAATGATATCCAGGAAATCTGGTTCGAGAAGTGGTCTATCTTCGAGGCTAGGGAGCGCAATGGTATTTACGACTACAAGGCGCTGTTGGTAGCAATGATCGCCGTCGAGACACCCTGGCAGGCATTCAACTTCAGTCTGATTTTCCTCTGCAGCTATTGGACAGTTGGATTCCCTGGCAGCAGCGCCGCGACCGGCATGATCTACTTCATGTACCTCCTATTTTCCGTGTTCGCTACTGGATTCTGTTACCTGATGGCCTCGATGTTTCCGAACAGCACGATGGCCGGCTACGCCAATTCGCTCTTCTGGGTGATTTTTATGATGTTCGGCGGCATCGTTGTTCCCCGCGACGCGCTGAACGATTTCTATCGCCCATGGATCACCTGGGTCGACCCGATGCGGTACTACTTCGGTCCGATGGTCTCTTCCAGCTTACACGGTGTACGTGCGGCGTGTAGCGATTCCGACTTGGCTGTCTTCGACCCTCCTCCCGGTAAGAGCTGTGGTGAGTACGTCGAAGCGTACAGCAGTTCAAACGCAGGGTACTTGCACAATCCGAATGCCACTGCGTCGTGTGCATACTGCCCCTACTCCGTCGGTGACGATTACGCGAGCACGATGGAATTCTTCTACAACGAGCGTTGGAGGGACTGGGCGGTGTTCTTGGGCTTTTGTCTGACCAACGTCGTGCTTGTTTTCTTTATTTCGTGGTTGACTCGGGTGCAGATTCAGCGTTGGAGACGTTGAACGGGTGTAGCGTTTTTGAACAGAACTGATGAATTGGTGACTAGAATAGGAGGGATTGTAGACATGTGGTGGTTTGGATACAGGAAGATTTCATTAGACATATAGAATAGAATTAATAGTAATAGATGAAAAGATATCAATAGGATCGTGTCTTATGTGCTCCGATCAGTATAGCGAATTCGGGATATCTTCCGGATCAAAGCCTGCTTCTAGCCAATGCGACATGTAGTTTACCTCGGGCATTGCCGGCAATGAGGATAGAAAGTTCTGTGGCTCCGACATCGTCTGGTCTTCCATGTATGCTGTTGAGACATTCCCTTGGACAGGGAAGCCTGCATTGTTGCCACTGCAGATTCCGAATAGCCTGTTAGCAGCAAATAACGCGAGGGATAAAACAATCATAATCAAAACAAAGATACAATAATTTCGAAAGGAAAGCGAGACACACCTTTGTAACCACGGGAATAGATCAACCAGATCCTCGTTTAATTGACTGTCGGCCAGGGACGATTGAAGCGCATCTTTGGCCACTTTCATTATGTCCAGACTTAGAATCTTACCATTGATGGGCCCGACGTGCTGAAGCTGATCAAGGCACTGAATCCCACGCTCAACCACACTGAACGTTCCTCTGGCATATTCCGGACTGGTTCCGGGATCCAGTACATCGTAGAGTAATGTGACGCAGGCGGACACTAGGAAGGCTGCGAGTGTTCCGTCGAACTTTATCTTCGAACATCGGTGAGAATATGCATCGTGGGTTAAGTTGATTATGCATCTCGCCGACGAGATTGATGCTTCAATTGAGTCATGAACGTGCATTGCACCTGCTCCGCGCTCCTCCGCCTCGGCCTTTGAATTGAAGAATGTCGCAAACACTAGCGCCGGACGGTGCATCAGCACCCGAAGTAGATAGTAATGACAGCCCAACAGAATCCGCTGTACCTCCTGCCATCCATCACCAACAGGGAGATCAGGGTCAAAGAAGTGTAAATATGGCGGCAAGTTGCGGGTAATTGACTCCAACTCCATGTCACATTCGATCACGGCGTGGCGGACTTTGTTGATATCCGCGACGTTTGAAATGCTTTTGGTGGAGTAAATGTCCACAAAAATTCTGTCAGCTACCTTGCCAACTCGGGCCATCGCTCTGACGTATCCGCACTTGCGGACAACTATGGGGGAAGGATCTGAAACGCCGGAGTCACCGATTGGTCCAGGTGAGGGTAGATCTTCCGGGTATGGTACATCGATCAATTCGTCCCGGAACGCTGATGGCCGACCCGTGAATATTGTGCAAGCTCTTTCATAGGCATATATTACCCAGAAAGTCCGCCTTAGGCGATGCATTGCAAGATTGGCGCCGTCTACGACCTGCGAGCGGTTGATACCGAGGGCCATTGCATTACGAGCAGCGTGGCCAAGGCAGAGGTATGCGTCATTAGGTCGCATGACTTGAAAGGCGTACATGGCCTAGATTGAGTTAGCACTGGTTGATCCGATAGGCACCTTTATTTGCTCTGTTATTTGTTCTGTGCTTTTGCACGAGCATATGCGGTTCAAGGGAGCTCACCTTAAGAAGAAGAAAGTGCGTCGAGCGCAGACTGGGATTCTCGAACAAATTTGTTGCATCATCAGCCCTTTTAGAAAAATATGCGGCCCACCCCTCGGACACATTCACGTCCTGTTTCCCTTCGAAGCTTGACACCCGGGCACCGATTGCCAGAACCATGAGTAAGAGCTCTTCACCCTTGACAGGAGTTCTCTTAGACGGCGGTTGCCACATACCATCCCACAATTCCATGATTTCTGAATATACTAACACTGGTACCTGAGGATGTATCAACTCAAAATAGGATTTGATAAAGGCTTCTCCCAGCTCACGTGGGAAACAAGCATTGGATTGGCAGTTGGTAGCATCGTTATCGGCGCTCAAGGAGAACATAAACCGTTCGAGTCCCCAATTGCCCACGCCCTCCGGAACAGGACTGCGCTGGGGGGTCAAAAGTGTCTCGTGGGCTCTGCGTTTGATACGTTGGTAGATGCGCTGGATGAAGCAGAAATGAGAGGACGGGCCTGGTTCATACGTAAGCGATATAACCCCCAGAAAAGTGTCACAAAATGTTTCTTCTCCGTGGCTATCTACTTACCATAAAATTGGAAAGAGCCGGTATCTTTGTTAGACACGCCAATACCAGCCCGCAATTCTCGCTGTCGCTTATAGTGCACCGGATCATTCAGCAAGCGAGGCGGTGCAGCGTCAATCCGGGGCGCTTCCGGGGTAGGTGCGGTAGTAGCATCAAGCGAGGATCCAACATTATTGGTAGAAGGAATCAACATAGGCTGTTGCCGACTGACTCTACGCGCTGCTTGCTTCCTGTCGTTCCTCGGGTTGCGGTAGGTACACGAGGCTCCAGAATTGTCGGCACCCGGAGCATGGGGTCTCTCCATCACAGCGAATCTTCCGCGCGCGACACTGCTCGCAGGCCAGAGCCACTCGGGGCTTGCGTTTGATTCCCCCAGGAGTCGAGCTCCCCGGTGACACATTCCCCTGTTCATAATCCATGTTCTTTTTCCCGCAGAGCAACAGAATCGTTTCACGGCGATGCAACCAGCAGGAAGGATACCGATACCGATTTCGATTCCGAACTCCGAGCCGAAGCTGAGTCAATTTCTGATCACGTGCGTTCAGGGGCGTTAGCCCTCATTTTCGTTTCTCTTTGTCCGTCCTGTATAGCATTGATTTTCTGTATATGGGGGCAAAGATTATGTTCATCGAAAACCTTCAGTTTCCAGCATGGGGAATGGGTAACTCAAAGATCATTGACCCGCCTTTTCGAAAATATTAGTGCCGCGATCCAGATTGCGAGACCTTGGTATCCGTCACTAAAAGCACCATGGTACAGTCGATCTATAGAGGTTCAGTTGTGGCTCATGGTCTGACATGATATTTACATCATTGGAACGTGGTAGTTACTCGTAGGAATCCATAGCGCATTCTTCCTTTATATATTACCAACGTCGTGTATCACAATGTCTAGCCACGATCAAGAGCAGATAATCCCCGGTGATTACGAATATGTTATTGTTGGCTCAGGTGCAGGAGGCGGGCCACTTGCCGCAAATCTTGCCCGGCACGGTCATCAAGTGCTTCTTCTTGAAGCTGGCGACGACCAAGGGCATAGCCTTACGCAGAAGGTTCCCGCCTTTCATATTGTATCCACTGAGGATCCAGCTATCAGATGGGATTTCTTTGTCAAGCACTACGACGACGAGGCGCAGGCAGCGAGAGACCCCAAGATGACCTGGGAGACACCGGACGGGAAGGCGTTTATCGGGGTCAATCCTCCGTCTGGTTCAAAGCAAAAGGGCATATATTATCCGCGAGCAGGGACATTAGGGGGATGCACGGTACACAACGCTCTGCTAACTGTACTACCACCGGATGAGGACTGGGAGCGTATTGTTAAGATCACAAACGATTCATCCTGGAATCCGCAACAAATGAGACATTACTTCGAACGACTGGAGAGATGTGGCTACCTTCCAGAGGGAACCGAAGGCCACGGGTTTGGCGGCTGGTTGGAGACAAACCATGCCGAGCAAATTGTGTTAACTTCAAAGAAGCCATTCATTGAGGCTGCTCTTAATGATGTACCTTCGCCAGGCAATCAGGTCGTCCACGATATAAACATTCAAGAGCCTCACCAAGTCGAAGGAGTGTATCAGTTGACGCTGTCTATGAATGACAGGGGTAGACGGAGCAGTGCTCGGAACTACTTGGTCGCTACTGCTAATGCAAGAAATGCAGACGGAACCAAGAAGTATCCGCTCTATATCCGCACAAGGTCCTTTGTAACCAGAATCATGTTTAGCGATAGCGATGGAAAACTCAAGGCAATCGGAATCGAGTTCCTGGAGGGAAAGAGTATGTACAAGGCAGACCCGACATACAATCCCAAGCATTCTGGGGCCAAGAAACGCGTTTTCGCCTCACGTGAGGTTATTGTGGCCGGAGGTTCATTCAATACGCCACAGCTTCTGAAGTTAAGTGGCATTGGTCCGAAAGAGGAGCTCCACAAGTTCGGGATTCCAGCCCGGGTTGACCTTGCTGGTGTGGGTTATAACCTCCAAGATAACTACGAGTACCCAGTCATCTACCAATGTGATCAGAGTATCTCTGTGTTCAAAGACTCGCTCTTTGGCTCCGCCGGGGATCCGTCTCTCGCCCAATGGATCCAGGAGGGCAAGGGGCCGTATAGGTCAATCGTGGAGACGATGGGAGTGAAGAAGAAGTCCAAAGTCAGCGAAAACGACGAATTAGACCTGTTCCTTTTTGGAGGAGCAAAAAAGTTCCCTGGGTACTTCCCCGGTTACTCCAAGGTGCTGGGAGGCGCCTTGAACCGATTTTGCTGGAACCTCATCAAGGTACACCCGCGCCGATCCCAAGCAGGGTCCGTCACTTTACGCTCGGCAGATCCCCGCGATTTGCCAGAGGTTAATCTTCGGCTCTTCAATGAGCATGGCAACAAAGACAGACCCGACCACGACCTCACTGCAATCGCAGACGGCGTTGAACTTGCCCGTTCAATGTTCAGGAGTATCCCCGAGCCTATTGGTCCCATGGTAGAGGAGTTTCCTGGCACCTTTATCGAGAGTCTCGACGCACTCAAGCAGGATATCAAGGACAAAGCATACTCACACCATGCAACCAGCACCTGTCCGATTGGCGCAGATGGAGATCCAATGGCATGCCTTGATTCGCGATTCCGCGTGCGGGGTGTCGAGGGTTTGAGAGTCGTTGACGCTTCTGTTTTCCCCCATATACCAGGACCCTTTCCTGTTCTTCCTGTTTACATGATTAGCGAGAAGGCAACGGACGTGATATTGGAAGACATACAACTGGACCTGAACGATGCGGTGCTTGATGAAGCGTTAGAGGACATGGTGTTGGAGGATGGCTAGTAATTTGCTATACTAGGTATTTAGAGTCGTATAAAATGAGATAAAATCAGAAGCTTGCTTGTTCTCTTTCGGTTCTGACAAAAATTTTTAACTAGTTAACTAGTTAATTAGTTAGAAAGGCACATAAATTTCTGCCTTAGTTTCCAGGCATCAATATACGGGCCGCTTAGTTAACTAATTAGTTAGTTACCGAAAAGGGATTTTCCGCTGCTTCTCCGACGCCCACTTACCAGCTTCTGGTGACACTCCGCTAAGGAAGCACACTCAGAGTCTCAAACCGTATGGTATACTTGGGACACTTGTTCAATGAAACGCAGAGGGCAGAGTGGCCCTGTACGCAAAAGATTGCGAGTCACTACAGGCTGGTAGGCTATTCTGCGCTTTTGTCATACATGAAGTCGCTGATAGATTATCAAGTAAAACTTGTCGTGGCCGCCGCGTGAAATGCGACGAAGCGAGACCTGTTTGCAACAATTGCGCTAGGAAGAACCGACCATGCAAGTATGACGATGCTGCTCCCAGTAGCGCTGGAAACGAGCCAGTGCCGCTGCGTCGTTTGAGACGCGCCTTTCCGCAGAATGACGACGGCCAAGATGCCAGGGACTCATCTATGAGTGGCCAACAAGATACCAGTTACCACTCCCTGGGACCTGCATTCCCGCAAACCCACCTACCACAGGGTGAGCGGAGCAAGGGCGGAGTTTCGCCCGAAACCCAAAGAGACGCGCTGCTTTCCTCGAATGGGTTGGATGCGATCGATATTCGCGGTCTGGAAATACCGACAACTCTACATGATTCACCCTCACCGAACCTGGCTGCCATATTCTCGCACGCCGAGAAGCCTCCGTCATTTGCCCCATCGGTCGAGTCGCCGATTCGCGTGACATTAGGTCTCACAGGCAGCACAGGTGATGGTGGCCGGAGGAACAGTGAAGATCGCTCAATAGCACTCCTCGTACAGGAGCAGATCGAGTTGAGTGCGGCGGAAGTAACCATTTTCCGGAATTACGTTGAACGAGTTTCCAGATGGGTATGAGCCACACCACCACACATCATACAATATGCTTACGGATACAGATCGATTCATTCTCCCGCGACCAGCCATTCTATAGAAAAGTGCCAATCATGGCGCTTCGGTGTCCTGTCCTCATGAACTCATGTCTTGCGCTGTCAATGAAACAGTCAACTCTGAAGGCATCAGGAGACGAGCAACGTATTCGCGAGAATGCTGCCATTCACTACCACCAGAAAGCTATCAAGGCGCTGAGTACGTTACTGGCGGATACTGAATGTGCCTCGAGAGATGAGATTTTGGCCTCGAGCATTATCCTTTCGACGTACGTATGCACGTTGTTGTCGCGGAAGACCAAAGCTGACTTCCACAGGTATGAAATGTTCGATGTCGTGGGCGAGAGCTTCGGGTCTCATTTAGGAGGCGTCGCGTTTTTCTTACAGTCTCGTCGGGTTTACGGCAATCAATGCGGACTTCAGGGAGCTGTGTACTGGACGTGGTACAGACACGAAATCTGGGCGGCTCTCCAAACTGGCCGACAGATGCTTCTCGACGAAGCATATTGGCAGCCCCCACTTATTAAGACATTCGAAGGCGTCTGCGTTGAGGACATAGCAAATCGCGTGATTTTCATATTTGGACAATGCGTATCCTTCTGCAATTCAGGTGATACAGGCGAGGCTAGTGCCGATGAAAAGATCGCAGCTCGGCAACGTAGAGTCACCACCTTGGATGCTGCCCTGGAGGATTGGAAAAGAAAGCTTCCATCTTCCATGTCCCACTTCTTCGCGGAACCGACAGCATCCCAACAGGAGAATGCGTCTCATCAGTTTCCTTTTTTGTGGTTTATGTATCCACAGAGCGGTACGTATACTTGACAATGGATAAAACCTGTTTACTAACACGAGCCAGCCATCGCCTATCAGGTTTACCACGCCTCGAAGATCTTGTTAAACTTACATCGACCACCAATACCAGCCGAGAGTCGAGGCTTAGGCCACACGCAGTCGCTCTGGACCCGTCGCCAAATCGAACGATCTCGCGAGCAGATATTCCTGGTTTCAAACGCGGGCGTTCCCGACACCTGGAGCCTGGTCTCCACACAGTGTCTTTACATTGCGGGACTTGTAACCGAGGGGGTGTTGGAAAGACAACGTACACTAGAACTGATTGAAGACTGCCAGAAGAGTTCCGGTCGACGGACCATGTGTCTTGCGGACGAGCTGCGAACACTGTGGGCTCAATGAGTCGCGGACCCTGAGGATAAACTTTGCGCATCTCCTTTTATCGTCCATGATTACGGTGGGGATGTGGGACAACTCGGCGAATTGCCGTTGAAAGCGAGATTGTCTCCGGCTCGACTAGTTTTCGCGCTTAGCCTCGTCATTGGTCAGTTATGCTCGGTTTCCATCATGATGTGGTCAGCGCTCCCCGCATACCCCATATCTCCGACATCCGTCCGGCAATTATTAATTGTTCAGGATGGCTGTGATGGCATATATCTGGCACAACTTACGTTTAAACCTGGCTGTATACGCATTGAGCTGGATAGAACAAGAACAGCAAAGATGTCTGAAAACCTCCATCCAGTCTTCCGCAAGGGAGCTACCGCTCTCATCAGCGGAGCAGCTTCTGGAATCGGTCTGGCGACGGCGCACTTCTGCTACTCTCGCGGCATGAATCTGATCCTTCTCGATGTCCACGAGCACTCACTACTCGAAGCAACAAGTCAATTTCCATCAACTTCGGAGATCAGAACATCAATATTCCACCTGGACGTTGCAGACGCGAACGCCTGGAAAGTGCTGCAACAGGGCATTTCGACAACGCATCCCTCTGGAATCGACTTTCTCATGCTAAACGCCGGGTGCAGTGTCGAGCCAGAGGCTGGAAAAACCGTCTGGCAAGACCCGGAGTATTTCTCGCGCACCCTCGCCGTCAACACATTAGGCTACACGAACGGAATCGCAGCCCTCCTCGACACCATGAAAAACGGGAAGGAATCAAAACCCCGCGCCATCGTCCTCACTGGCTCCAAGCAAGGAATCACCAATCCCCCGGGTAATCCGGCCTACAACGCATCCAAGGCCGCCGTGAAATCCATCGCAGAGCAACTATCCTACCATCTACACTCCGACCATCCCGAAATCAGCGTCCATCTCGTCGTCCCCGGCTGGACGTACACAGGCTTCAGCGCCGGTCGGTTCCCGTCCAAACCGGATGGTGCCTGGGCACCGGAGCAGGTTGTTGATTACATGAATAGGAAAATGGCGGATGGCGTGTTTTACATTGTTTGTCCGGACAATGAAGTGACCGAGGAGTTGGATCGGAAGCGGATTGTGTGGTCGACTGGAGATGTCGTATATGAGCGGCCACCGTTGTCGCGGTGGAGGCCGGATTGGAAGGATACGGCTGCGGCGGAGATTAAGGATAAGATTAGTTTGTAGACCGGGTTTAAACAAGAGATTGATGGATTGTTTGAATTCACGCGGTTTCGGTGTACTTGATCGACCCCAACTGGGATAACGAATATCCACCAATCAGATCGCATAGCGAGTTTCCTCGATGATGACATCTATCCCAGCCCATGCTATAAATCGCCCATGTCACATTCAAAGGACACAGCTAGAGATACCATTTAGAACTCAGCAAGATGACTATTCAAGGATCCAACGTGCTCCTCGTAAGCATTTCACTGCCCATGTCCGGCGGCAGCTCACTAAATGACTTAGACTGGGGCTTCTATGGGAATCGGCTCCGCCATCGCCGAAGCACTCGCTGCGAAAGGCGCGAATTTGATTCTCTTTGCGAGATCTGAGGTATGGGAAGCCACAATCAGTTTAGAAAAATTGTCTAACGCCTAGCAGGATAAACTACAGAGCCTCGCGGACAAAATCAAGAAGCAGCATGCAACCAAGGTGATCTACAAAGCAGTCGACATCCAAGACTACACCGCGGTCGAAGGCGCCGTTAAATCCAGCGTGCAGGAACTTGGCCAAATCGACATTCTTGTCAACAACGTGCGTCCCCCCTCCCTCCAATCCACCATTCCCGCCAATCTAACAAAATCAGGCCGGCCTGGCCCTCGGCGCCCCCTCTGCATTCCACGACCTCCGAGTATCAGACATCCTAACCATGAACAACACCAACATAAACGGCTTCATGTTCGCAACCCACGCAGTGCTAAACACCTCCATGATCACCCGCAAGATTGGCACAATCCTCAACATAACATCGGTAACTGGCCTTGAAGTGCCCCCCTTCCCAGGCGAAGCAGTCTATCACTCAAACAAGGCGGCACAGGAGGCCTTTACGAATGCATTGCGCAACGAGCTGAGCGGAACGAATATCCGCGTTATGGCGCTGCGACCCGGTTGTGTAGCAACGAATTTCCATTCGCAGCGTGTTGGACATGATAAAGAGATGTATAATAGCTTCTTTGAGGGATTTCAGTATGTCCTTTCCATTCTATGCTCATGCTATTGGCGTTGCTAACTTTGCTTGCAGGCCTCTTGAACCAGTGGATGTCGCAGAATCGGCCGTGTATATGCTGGAGCAGCCGTTGAACAGATCAGTGAAGGCTCTTGATGTTGTTCCTTCTGGTATGTATAGTTCAATCAACATCTACGGGACTTCAGCTAACGCTATCCAGCGCAACGATCGTTGACTGTGTTTGACCGGGAGTGGAACAAGAGAAATGCATAGTCTTGTTTTGACCACTATTCTCTGTCTTGCCTGATTATTCTGTGTCTGTTCAGCAATAAGAAATCCATTTTTATATATAGCCCAAGAATTGGGTATCGGGAAGTCGATAGTTAATCCGGGCTGCACGTGGCTATTATGGATGGAGTGGGATTCTAACCAACCGAAAGGCGTTAAAGTGGACATTTCAGTGCTTCTTTTCCATTGGCGTCGCCACAATTATTCTCAAATTTGGTACATAATACATTATTGGAATTTATTGGGGTTGCGCCCGTGGTTCTGGTGCTCAATGGGGCCGAAAATTCGCCGGCAGAGTCTGTTCATGCGGCGGTGACTAATTACTCTGTATGAGTTAAAACTGCCTCCCTCTTGAATAAAGGCTCATGTCAACTTCTTCTCTTGCTGTAATTAGCTGTTGACCAGTCACAATAATACCTCATCTTCAATATCTGATAGTTCTCGGCAGTTCGCGATGCGGTTTCTTTGCGGGACCACTTCGAATGTATGTGCACTGGCAGTTTTGGATTGAAATTGGCCTTTGTGAAAGGCCTCAATAGCTAGAGATATGTTATTCATGATGAAAAAGTTGATAAAAGATAGGACTGAAGTATGGTTGTACTCAGGAACCGCCGCCCAGCTCGGTAGTGGATTTATTGACTTTTACGACCAGAATTTGGTCTTTTGTACATATTTTTTTGTAGTATGTATAATGTTGAGTCTCCTTCTATAAAACTCTACTCTGTACATACCCCTGCTATATACACTATCTCCTCATCTCACAGCGATCCTCTCCCCCGGACCACCGCGCAGACCACCGCGCAGACCACCGAACCTTGGTAGTGGATTATCCTACCCAACACCGAGACGATGGGACTGGAATACTGGATCAGCACAGACCAATGGATCGGATAATCATTGCCCTGATCAAGAAAATAGAGTACGAAAACGCTAGACCCGCTGAGACAAATACATAGGGGTCAATCACCCGAATTAGGCAAGAGGCACAAGCTTTGCTAGTGGAACCACCAAACTCTGTTCGTTTCGCATTTTCTCTCCTGCATCGTGTATTCTTTTAATCCCACCCCTACCCCCCTCTCTGAGTCTCACTATGCAGCATCATGGCCAACAATTATGGTGAGGCTATCACTGTTGTTACTGCTGTCTTTCTCGGCATTTCACTGACGACGGTGCTGCTGCGATGTTTTGTGCGATTCCGTGTGGTCCAGGCCTTTGGCTGGGATGACACCTTGATGGTTATTGCAGCAGTGGGTTCTGCATTTCTCCTTGATGAAATTGTGATATACTGACCCTGCCAGATCTTGAATATCGCGTTTGCAACATGTGGCTTTGTAGGCGTAAAGTATGGCATGGGCAAGCATCTTGATTATTTCCTCTTCCATTACGATGATTTTCACAAAGCATTATTTGTATGACCTCTGGCTCTCTGTCCTCAACATACTCAGGCTAATCATATGAACTAACAAAATAGTGCTTCTGGCTGGGCCAACTCTTCTACATAGCTATAGCCATTGTCGGCAAAACCTCGATTATCCTGTTGCTACTCCGCATCACAGTCAATCGCATCCATATCAGCATTCTCTATGCCACCATGGCACTCAACATGGTTGCTGGATTGGTCTTCATCTTTGTCACCATCTTCCAGTGCACACCTGTCAACCACTTTTGGAACCGCCTGGATCAGGACTTTGGCAAATGTATTGACATTGGGGTTCTCATTGGCGTTGCATATCTGTGCAGTGCTGTTGCAGCTCTTACTGACTTTATTATCGGCCTACTTCCGGCATTCATAATATGGAACTTGCACATGTCACGGCGAAATAAGATTGCTGCGGGCATGATTTTGAGTCTGGGCTGCATGTTCGTTCTTCCCCCTTGTGCCCGCACCCATTGTTATGGAATAAAGCTAATATAAATCGCATTGCAGAGCAGGTATCGCCGTCATAATTCGCTTCCCCTACCTCCAACACTATGGTGACAAGGAATTCCTCTATAAAACCGCCAACATCGCCATCTGGTCGAACATTGAAGCTGGCCTGGGTATCACCGCTGGCTCCCTGCCAACATTACGCCCCCTGATCCGATTCTTCCGCGAAGCCTCACAGGGCTCCTACGGCCGTAACCCAGACTCATTCCCACTATCAACTACCCTGGAAAATAACACACAACTCCAACAGTCCAAGCTAGCACAGGAGGGTGAGCTGCGGCTCTGGCCCGGTGGCAGGGATATTGAGGCACATGGGGTGCACACAGTGGTGGTAGGGAATGGACGGGTTGCAGCTGCACCGGCGAGTAGCAGTGAGGAGGACTTGAGTCCGCATCCGAGTACGGTGATGGGGAGTCGGGATTTGGGGCGGATGCGAAAGGAGTGACCGTGACCTTTTCTTTATTTTTCTCTCTGTTTTCCCTTTTTTGTTTCATTCCATATACCCTTGATTGTACTATATACTCGCAGCCCTATCTTATTTCTTCTACCAGTATTCCGAACTAACGTAAAAAAAAATTAAAAAATAAAAAAAAAAGAGAGAGAGAGAGAGAGAAAGAAAAAGAAAAAGAAAAAGAAAAGAGCGAGCGAGCGTAAAAACAAACAGAACCTTGGATGGAAAGAGTGCGTGCTTTGATGGACCAATAGTGGTCTACACCACCGGCGGCTTCTTCCTCGGGCCCTTCGAGACTTGGCTCATCTCCATTCTCAACCTGGTGGAAGTATGATTTCGCGCTAAACAAACACCCCATTCTCGATCGCGACGAATTCATCAAAACAGGTTCCGCATTCTGCCATTACCAAGGTCTCATCATCACCCCGCACAGCCACAAACCAAGGAAGCATGGTGCGCCGCACCCGCGTGGCCGGGCCGGTGGATCTATGCAGGAGGCCGGGGTGAGTGATGCGGGCCCTTGAGAGTGAACGCGACTGAGCCAGGCGGGGAGGCAGCAGTGCAGGCCTGGGATTACTTTTGTGTAGTTCTCGTCTTCTTCATCCAGGGACACCGATCTCTGAATGGTATTAATTCCCCTTCCTGTCTCAACAGACGGCGTGTTTGGCGGCTGTGTATATGCTGGAGCAGCCGTTGAACAGACCAGTGGAGGCCAGTGCATCTGCATCACAAGGCTCGAGCTAATCTTTTTCTGAAGCGCAACGATCTTTGACTATCTTAGACCGGGTCCCCGGGAGTGGAACAAGAGGAATGGATCTCTAAATGATTGGTTCGATTCCAAAATCCGCCCCACGTAAGCCGCCGACTTTTCTCCGCACTATCAAGATGCTCTGCATAGCATCAGTGCTTCAATGGATAAGGCACTGTCAGCTTGAAGAATGGAACACTGCATCACAGCACAAGTACAGCCTAAGTAGCTCGCCAATGTCCGCCTGCCAGTTCTCTCAAGTCTTCGACTAGTCCACTCGGGTGCTCGAGTGCAGCGAAATGCCCGGCATCATCACGCTCTGTAATTCGTTAGAACCACGTTAAAAAGAATCCGCATAAAGCAATACACACCTCTATAAAACACCAACTCCCCCGTCCGTTCAACCGCCCTTCGAGACGAAGGCTCCGTATCCCAAAAGAACGACGTATACCCAAACGGCACCTTAATCCGGTTTTCCGGCTGCACAACAAACTCAGCAAACTTATCATGCTCGACATTTTCATAGTACGGCAGCATAGACGACATGATGCAGTTGCTAAAGTAGTATAACGATGCGGTTGTCAGGATCGCGTGAGTCCATGAGGGATCGCTCTGGTTTTCAGGGTTGGAAGCTTCGATGAACTTCTCGCCTACCCACATGAGGATGCCGAGGGGATTGTCGTGGAGGGCGAGGCCGATTGTGTGTGGCTGAGTTTGTTAGTATTGACTCGTTGAAACAGGGTGGAAACATACCCGAGTCCTCATACACACAGCATAACCAATATGATTCTCAAGCCAGTCGTTCTCCCGATCTACAGTGGTCTTCTCCCGATCCGTATATTCCACGCCAGGAGGTAGCGGACTAGGAGCGAAATTGAAATGCAACAACTTGCACGAATCCGTGTACTTTGACGCGAGCTCCCGACCGACAAAGTGTCCCCAGTCTCCGCATTGCACCATATACTCCTGATATCCCAGCTTCTTCATCAACTGATCAAAAACCCTGGCCGTATCCTGCAACGTCCATCCGGATCGATGCGGCCCATCCGACCAACAGAATCCCGGTAAACTAGGAACAACCACATGAAACGCAATATCCTCATCATCAGATGGACACGACAAAGGACCCCAGACACGACTAAACTCCCAGAAACAACCCGGCCATCCATGTACCATTAACAACGGGATCGCGTTGGGACGCTCTGCTCGCGCGTGCAGGAAGAAGATGTTGAGGTTTTCGATCGAATTGGTGTACTGGGGGTATTTGTTGATGTCGTTTTGCACGGAATACCAGTCGAAATCGTTTATCCAGGTGTTGTAGAGGGTTTGCGCCCATTCGTAGGGTGGGCCTATTTTCTCAGCGGACTGGTAACAATAGACAGGATACTAGGGTGCGACATACCATAGCGAGTTCCTGCATCAGCAACAATCGGTCCTCCTGGGAATCTCGTGTCTTTCAGTTTTTGATTCAATCGGTCGACTTCTTCCTTGGGTATGTTGATTTGGAACGGTTGGATGCCCGCCATGTCGGATATATATCTCGTTTGTCACCAACCACGATAATTGACTGGGACGTAATTGGAAGGTGTGCTACTGTAGAAATTCACTACAAGACAGAATTACAGGTTTATGAGGGACTCTATATACTACAACGTCGCTAGTGAATAAATAATCCAGCCAATGACGGTCGGAAGCGAGGTACCAAGATGCAGTGACGTCATGCTTATTTAGTTGCATTAAATGAAAATATATACATCGCTCTACTATGCCCGTATAGTCGAAGCTCATTGCAGCAGCTTTGGGAGATCGTCCACCGATGACCCCTCGATAATGCCTGTCATCGGTTAGTCCTGATTATCAGTCATGAGAAAGGCAGCGAACTTACCGTGCACCGCATTGAAAAGAGGAAACCCGGTCTTTCCATGCTGCGACAGAAATTCCCATACCGACTGAGCCGTACCGAGACCCTATAGTTTCTGGCCATTAATCTCTGTCTTCTCAATCTCCTCCACAGAAACATCTTTCTCCACAGCGTGACCCGTCCCTTGGCTTGCACGAAACCTGTCGCCAGAGCCACAATGTTCTTCAAAGATCTCCAGTTGGGTATATTAAACGAAATTAGATCCGAAATGTAAAACGGCTCCCAGGAGGGGCTATGTATTATTTTCTTCCAGATTGAATTAACTCAGCTGCTTATCACCAGAATCGATCAAATTCTCATGAAGAGGATAGAGAGAAAACCCTCTAATTTCCTTGACCATCTTTTGCACTCCTTGATTTAATCTGTCCAGTTCTTGCTTGAGAGGACACCTCCATGCTCCGCAGCTGTGCTTGAGGTCGTTGTTGGCGCAAGAAATCCCGAATGCTAGATCTGACACCGAGAATTTCTGGAATGGAATTACTGAGGGCCAAAGTTCGGAATGCCTTAATATTGCAAAATAGTCTGCCACCCTGGAGTCAACGGTACAATGCTTGGAGTGTAGTTCGGTGTTGTTGCAGGGATGACACTTTTTGGCTTGTGCGGGGTGTGACCGCCCACAACGAAAGCAGTCAAGGCCTTCAATCACGTAACGCGCTTTGCATTCCCTGATAAGACCTTCAACAGACTGTACTTCACTATGCAGGTACCCCAGTAATCGTTCGATACCATCTATCAAGTCATCTGCAGATTGTTAGTGCTCACCTTTCCAATCACGCCTTAATTCAATACACACCTATCACACAATGAGGTAACAAATTCAAATGTTCGTGTACCTCCCACGTCAACACAACGTCTGGAGTAAGGTCCTTCTGAGCGTTTGAAGATACCAAAGCAAACGACTCTGGCATTCGAAAAAAATGAGCAGCTAACAGTAAAGGGCCGTAATCATCAGTGGCCTTCATAGATCCAATGCTTGTGAGCCAAATTTCAATCCACGGTCTGAGGGCCCTGATGCAATTATACTTGTCGCAATGAATTGCAAGGGCAGCAAGCATCTTGGCATCCATCTCATCCCCAGGGCCCTTGTAATGGAGGATTCCTAATATTTTTCGCATAGCCGCTGGATCATCATCCCTAAGCATGATTTCAGGGCGGTTGCCTTCAATTATTTGGCCACCTTCGGAGAAATTTTGCGAAAAAAGTGCTGCAAATACAGGGGAAGCAAGCCCAAGAACCTTCGACGACACGAGGAATTTTGCAGCATTTGGAGATTCGCCTTCCACGATGAGAACAACATCCCCAGCATAGTCGAACTCTTCGATATCTAATGTATCGTCCGCTGATTGTTCGATATTCATTTTTGGCAGGATACGTCAATGAAGAAAGAAAGCTGGAAGCAGGTGAGGCGCTTTGAAGTTGAGATTATGTGCAAAGTAGAAAATATATATCCCAGATAGAATTGGACACGAAAGGCAGAGTCACGAGTAGTTATTAGTGACGTGTATGGTTATTGGTGTGTTTGTCACGGGCTCGGAATAGAAGATAATAACGAACTGAATTGCTATCTTGACTATTGTAGCCATCAACGAGAATATCGAATCTGGGGAGGAAAAAAGGAGAGGAAATCTATCTGGCGAGTACAGTCTCTATAAACCTTTGTGCGATGCGGCTTGAGCCCTTGTTTGTCCATATTGCTTGTATGGCATCTTTTGGCATGTTGGCACTGTTTGCCTGGTCGTTGAGCCGTCACAGTGTTTATCAGACATGGCCAATGACATGCACCCACGCCAGAATCGAACAGCTCATACTTGCATAAACCCCTCGTTTTCAGATACAATAGTTACCAAAATTGCTGTCCTCCCAGAATATTTGAATTGTTTCCACCCCAATGTCCTAAGACATTAATGTCCATTTTGGATGGCCCCAGTGACACACTTATCAGACTGGGTAATTCGGATAGTGCCTTCAAAAGGTTGAGTGAGAATGGGATATCGGCGATAGTGGCTGGGATATCAGTGTTTAAGCCGCCCCAAAGAGCGAGGTGTTACGGACCTAACCACATCAGTCTCGCGTGACGATGTTGGGAGAGCAGTAGGGGCAATAGGAGTAGTGGGATCTCCTATAACGTTAGCTGGTGTGATCTGGTGGCCGGAATGTTAAACGGAACTTTTGTCAGCGGACGATAGTTAGTTAATCCTTGTCTGCTCTGACTAATTAGCCAACTATGTAACTAACTAAATCACCCTGCTCTAGCTTTGGTGTTCCACGCTACCCTCTCCCATTGCATGAGCAGGTAACATATCAGAGTGGATCAGCAACAGCATGGTCTGCCCCCGTGTTTGGCTGATCACTTGAGTGACCAAGTAGTCACTTCGGTGAGTGCGTGGCCAACACAACAGTATGGCCATCAACAGCCGGAAACTACCATAATTTAATGGACAAGTCTATAGCCACCTCTAGCGCCGATATACTTGTGCTGGTATTCATCCGCCCTATTATATATAAGGAATCTTTTCCATATAATGATATACGGACTGCCCGTAGGAGAGTGGGAATTGGGCGCGATAGGTTGACCAGAAGCTATACGATAGAGGATATAAAACGAGGACTGATTTCTACTTTCAATGAGTGCCGTTCTTTGTTATCATTTCTGTTACAACCTGCTCCAAATTCCAATATGGATCCTTCAACTCTTGTGAGAGGTCTTATAACTTTCGCTAATAAGCCACTGTACAAGAAGGCTTGTATCCCGGTTCCTCCGCCTCCCCATTATAAATGACCAAAGGAGGATGTTGCCATCCATCCATGTCATGGAGAATGTGCTTAACAAGGTTGTTTTCAAAGATTACAGCACTGTTTTTGTCAACTCCCAGGTTCCCCCACATAAACAGTCGAATCTAAAGGCTGATCTCGCTATCAATTATAGTTATGACGAAAGTGCGACGGCTCCAGATTTTATGCTTCGTTGAGGGTAAGCGTACGTCTCGGAGTCAGAGTTACAGTACGAAAGCTGTTGAGCAAGAAGCTCTTGACTATTGCAAAAAGCTTTTTGCCAGCAACCAATCAAATTCAACCGATTTCGTGTATGCCGGCACACTTGTTGGTGTACATTTACGGTTATGGATTGTCCACCGAGCAAACGGGGAAGACGGTATGAGTCTTACACCATTGTGGGTCGCCCCATATCCAAAGAGCAACGAGGATTACAAGGATCTAGGCGATAGTGCAGACGGACAGGAGGTCCTAAGAGCGTTCCATGGGATGATCAGTGTTGCGCCGCAGCCATGGATTGAAACTAAGGGTATTGGAGTGGTGCCATCATCAGGCGGAGGAGCGTTTCAACTACCAACAATTGATCGACCAGACTTCATTCCAGAGTCCATCGCCCCCGTTCTTCCAAGTGTCCCTACTGGCCCTACGATCTCAGGTCTTCCACCTGATTATGTGAGAGTAACCAAGTTCTTGGTAACCACAACCAGTTACACTTGGATGACCTCCTCAGGGGAAACCGGCTCCGGCAGAGTTGCTGAGTTGGATGTTGAGCGATGCTATCTCTTGAATAAAGAGAGACAACTCTATGCTGATAGCGCCACTGAGAATGTTCCTGTCCGACTCTGAAAACTTTGAAAACTCTGAAAATCCTTTTGAAAATACTGCCTCTTTGAGCATTCAACATGCTCCTTGAGGGGTTGGATTGCACTTTCTATGAGAAATAGGATGTCACGTTCTAGAAAACTCATTGCTGTACTGTCTAATCAACTTAACACTGGCCAACTCTCTCTTCTGCTGCGTGCAGCGCGACTACGTGTTTACATGGTGATATCTTAGTCTATCTCACACGTGTACTGGACGGGACGTATATTTGCGGCATTCGCCAGGGGTACACACTTTATGGGCATGAAAGCAACACCTTTGTCAAAGCCTCGGTCCCCTTGTCCATTACTGCCTTCATTTTCAGATGACCCCGGACCCGGTGAAGTCCGTTCTCCGAGCAACCTTCTCTGGCCCGCAGGACCATTCAGTCAGGCGGCTGACTGCTACCAAATCATGGGTACGATTACACAAGTTGCTACATATATAATCATCCTAATAGGATAGCTATACGACAATGCACTCAATCTGTAACCAAGCTAGCAATTGCGAACAGGTATAGAGTAGCGAAGGAGAAAACTATCAGTTAAAGAATGATGCATTCAACAGCAATAATAGTACCACTCTGGGAACAGCATTCATGGCAAAATTGACCGAACAAACGAAGTATTCTGTCAACAAGATTTCAGAGGACAAATATTGGCAAGGTATTTATACACGATCAGGGTTTGCCTGGATACCCGCAATCAAGTCCGAGAAGTTGATCGCTTTTGGCCGAATCTCCATTCATGTAATCAAGAAACCTCTGCCTTGTCGTCAGTTCAATGCAGCGGCAGCAGGTTTCTACGGTAGCTACTTTTGCCGTCTGCATGTACTTCGACCTCGGTCGCCAAAAGCTTCTTCAGGATGTTCAGAACCTGGTTGGAATAACCGGGGTGATCAACACTATCCCTCGGGTGTAGGAGGCCGGGATACACAGCGAAGTTCATGCCGACTGCAGCGATAACGAGCCACTCCAGATTGTCATAGACGTAGCGATTCTCTTCCGGTACATCCTTCGATACCTTATTTGAATATATCAATTGGGCATCGGGTTCTTGTTGACCCCGAAGGGACATCATGATACCCAAATGTGAGCGTGGTCTCGAGCACCCCGAGGTTTGCTCCAAAAGTCTAGCTGAATCTGCCACGCATGCTCGCGACTCATTTCGAAACCCCTGAGTCAGCTTGTCCCTGCTCCTATTCTTTACTTGAATCATGACGTATGAGATCTCATCTTCCTCCGCCATGTAGATAGGAAGGATTAGATCACAACCAATGTAACATGTTGGAGAGAAGATGGCGGCGCCCCGCTTGTAGGCATTCTGCAGTGTGTTCTCATTTGGGTCTTCCACAAGTCGCACGAAATGGTTGAAGTAGATTGTTCCATTGTCCCATAATGGGCGCAGGCTATCGCTATCCTTCAGGCACAGTTGTATTCCTTCAACAAGCTTAACGGGAAAAAGTGCCGACAGGAAAGTTGAGAGCCTAAGCGGCCGTGGTCCGCCCACTGGCTGGACTGTATCGACAGCGAAGAGGAGTATCAGAGCAGCAGTTAACTCACCAGCGTCCCCCACGTTCACCGTACCATTGGTGATGTTGCGGTAGAGTGACATTATGGCCTGGGCTCGGATTTCTGAGGACCTCGTCATCTCCCGCTGTGCAGTCATTGCCAATACTGGCTCAGAGAGCTGGAAGGTCTGAATGAACATCCGGCTTGGATCTACGTCAAGAATGTACCGCAGATAATCTGCGGTGAGCTGGTCCGCCAGGTCGTACACCGGAATAATGTTGAAATTTATGCGATAGGATAGCATGGCGAGCCCTTGAATTTCGGTGATGAAATGACGATCCTGCGCTGTTCCAAGAACTTTAACTCTGGCGATATCTTCGATATCTTGACGAGTCGTTCCTCGTGCCGGCTGGCCTTTTCCTTGAAGGATCACTCCCCACAACGGCCTACCCAGTGTGTATGGATACTGTAGTTTCCCACTGTTCGTGAGTATCAACCTCCGTAGCTCTTCCCATTCACCCCCCTCCACACCTGCAAATAAATCCATTGAGTCAATTTCAAAAATTGGTGGAAAGAGCTTTTTTGTCTCGGGATCAACCCATTTGAGGCTTGGGTCTTGCTCATGCGGTGGCGAGAAGTCTGCAACCTTAGCTGACGTATCTAATAAGATCGCGAAGAAGCGCTTGACATTTTCCGAGTCCGAGACTTTGCTTTGGTATCTCAGGGCCGGTCGGAATCCGAGAAATCGGTCTTCGTAGCCTGTGCCCTTTGGAAAACGCGGGTCAAAGAAACCTCGTGCCTCATCAAGGCATAGGATCGCGGACGGCTTGGCGGGGTCTTGCCCGAGATGCGCCTCGCTGCTCAATTTCATATACAGCTTATTATATTGATGAGTCCTGATGTATCTCGCTAGTTGCGAGAATAACTTGCTGGCATACTTTCGATACACCTTCAGCGGCCTCTCCAAGTAATGCTGATAATCGAACGTGCTATGGTCATCAGACCTCTCCCTAGGATGCGTTTTGGTCTTCTGAGCCATGAAGTACAAATTATCGATAAAGCGTGCAATTGTATACTGAAAGTCTTTAAACTCAGACTTCATTTGAGCATCGAACCAGACAATCGGTGAGATTCCATGCCTGGCGCAGAGCTCAACATTGATCAAACCCACGGCGACATAGCACTCAAAATAAACAGTTGCATCCTCACGGGTGATGAGTGGTGATTTTATCTGCCACAATTGAGCGTGATGGGTATGCTGCCGATTTTGGTCTAGCCAAGCTGGCGTAGACAACATACATACCCTTCCTTGCTAACTCCTGAATGACAAAGCTCTTTCCGATCCCACTTGGCCCAATGATGGGGGTATATGGCGCGACGCATTCCGAGAGGACGGACGCGCGTGTTGGTGTGCAAAAGAGATGGAAATCAGCTACCTCACTTGCACTGAGGACCTGAAATTCTAACAGTCAAAGTAGTGTTGACCTAGTGGATAAGGTTCTACCATTCTTCACTATCTCACTTACACTGAGAACCTGCGGCTGAGCGATGGATGTGATGTCGTTCTGGCTGAAATGCCGGTGATGCATGCTTAAGGAGCAAACCTGGAGACACCTGGGGTGAGAGGTTTTTGGTGGGGGGCTACGTATGTACTGCCTATAGACTAAATCCGTCTTCAATCTCGAAGCAGGCCTAAATTGAGGGTTTTTGAAAGCGCACCTCCAGGTTTGTCGCAAATTGCCAATGTACTGGCCTTGTCATTTGGAACTAGCTAATTCTGGAAGGACGATTAGCAGCTGTCCATTCAATGAATAATTGGTAAACTGTGCAGATAACAGTGGTAGATTAATTTAGGGACTGACAGAAGGATGGAGCGAAGAGAAAAAAGAGAGGAGAAAAGAAAGGAACTACCCCGAAGCCGCGGAGTGGAACGTCCCCACGGAACATATGTCCACACGCCGTTATCAAAGAGCCCTGAGGCTTCTTGCGCTACACTTGGTTCTGTCTTCTCTGTTGGTACTCAGGTCATCCGGACTCAGCTTGTCCTTTCTTTTATGGAGTTGATCGTAAGATCCCCGATCTAATGCCAATCCCGGATCTGGACTAACAGTCATATCCGACCAAAGCGAAGCAGCTTCCCAAGTTCAGCAACTCAGCGAGCAGCAAGCTCACGACCACCGCCATGAACACCACGTTAAAAATAGTATCTCTGACCAGCGAACCGCAGACCACGGATCGAATAAGAAGGATTCACGAGACTACCGTCACAATCACCGCCATGATGACCACCATTCCGGCAAGGAACCGCTTCACAGGCAGCAGCGGCAAACAAAAGAACATTACCTCAGCACCAGGTCCAGCACTCCGTCCACTGCTTCTCTATTCCCTACTTTACCCCTCTTTTTCCTACCAAAGCCTTTTTGAGTATTTGGTCTGCGATTTTTCTAAGCCGATACTTCGTTAGTTTCCTCAACCAAGCTTCAGCTCGTACACATCCGCAGCAATGGAGTACGAGTGGGTTTAGGGCACTGAACCTGTTGACAGGTACACTCCGGGGGGTTACCATCCAATCGCAATCGGAGATCTAATTAATGGACGCTACCTGATCGTGGATAAACTGGGATTTGGGGGTTATTCGACGGTTTGACTGGCACGGGACACATTTTGGGAGATAGTTATACGTCGCTCTCAAAGTGGGCACTGCATCAGCATCCCTGGAAACAAAAGCTCTCCGTGCTCTCGCTATTCTATCTGACCACCCGGGACGTGATGCGATTCCTTCTCCTCTTGATGAATTCGTTATTCATGGACCTAACGGGGCTTACCCATGCTTGACAATGGTACTTGCACAAGACAACCTGAGAGAAGCGTCTGACTGTCGCTTGTTTCCTATTGATGTTGTACGAACTTTGGTAGGAGGACTCACAATGGCCGTTGCCTATATGCACTCTCATGGATATGTCCATGGAGGTTTGTAGCAGTCCTTCCACCCTGGAACTTCACCAGCTAATGTGTTGAGGCAGATATTCACCTGAGCAACATCTTAGTCAAACACCCATCACATATCAATGATCTCTCTATTGAGAAATTCTACGAGATACACGGCAAACCATACGCTGAGCCCATTATCCGCTGTGATGGAGAACCACTTCCACTGAATGTCCCACAGCAAGCTGTCATGCCCATATTCTGGGGCATAAAAGCCAACCAGTTTACACTCGCCAATGCACATATAATCCTTTCTGATTTTGGTGAATCATTCTCCCCATCTTCAGAGACTCGGCTTGCGAAGGACTGCCACACACCACTTGCAATGCGGCCCCCGGAAGCCCGGTTTGAGCCTCTTGCTAAACTGTCCTACCCATCCGATATCTGGAGCCTGGCAACGGCAATATGGGAAATACTTGGCATGAAGGTCCTATTCAGCGATGAGTTTGCTACGGAGGATGAGGTTGTCAGTCAGCATATTGATGCTCTGGGGCCAATACCCAAGCGCTGGATGAAGCTCTGGGAGCAAAAGAATGAATTCTTCAATAACAAAGGGCATCTGAAAAAGGGCCGCTCTCTATGGCCATCACTTGAGCAGGCATTTGAGCAAAATGTGCAGAGCTACCGACGGAAAGTTGGAGTGGAGGAATTTGGGGAAGAGGAAACAACAGCTATTCTTGACTTGATGCGCCGCATGCTACGATTTCTGCCAAAGGAACGATCCAGAATTGAAGAGGTTTTGCAATCGGAGTGGATGGTCAAATGGGTTATGCCAGATTTCGAGCAAATTCGATCGTCGAGATTCAATTGAGGGAGCAGTCCAACCTCAAACGGTAAGCCGATGCTGCACAACCCCATCTTGTCTTTTCGTCCGTCGAATATGCCCTATGTGCATTGTGCAAGGCTCTAGGATACTCGCTCCATTGGGACTAAACTCGTACCGCCATTGGGTTGCTTTCGGTATCGAGAACGCGTTGATCCTATCATTTGGATCTATTTCGTATGTTATAATAGAGATTGTGGAAGACGCAGCTTATTTCAGATCAATTATCTCCACATGTACAATGCTTCTACTTGCTATTTCGCTTTCATATAAGGCGTTCGGGGTTCCTTTTTACGGTACTTCCCTTTACTCAAGGCCTGGTTGTCCATAATGCCGTCTGATGCGTACAGCAACGTGGTTTGTGTGCTCTGGCCCAGAATCCGTCCTCAAGTACAGTGCAACCATTAAGGTCAATGAGATTCTCAGTGTTATACCGGATAGCGTCCAAGGAGCCATAAGCATGAAGCGTAGATAATTTAATACTAAGCCGTTGTTGGTTCTCTATAACAGAAATATTGGAATGGGATATTACGGTGTTGGGGGGGTTGTTGAGGGAGCCTTCGCTTTTACTTACGTGTAGGTTTTTCTCTGAGTGTATGGATATATGGCTGGGCCTCCTTCTGACTTTTTCGTTTCCTTTTGATGCTCTGACGAGTTGACCAGCTGATCCGGGAATGGCGTCCAAATACATCATTTGTACCAACTCGACTAGCGGAACCCACCGCGATCACAAAGAACGCAGTGCCTTTCCGAAGGTGCCATTAAGACATATGTCCATTTATGGCATCATGAAAGTCTCCAAAATTTAGTACTGTATCTTCCGTACCGGATTTAGATGTACATCGGTTTCCAACATTCCGTGACGAAATGCCCTTTCTGATTTGTTTTCTCCTTGTCCTTGGAGCCCGTCGTTTGCCCCGTTCTACCCAATATGGAGCAGGCCCGCCGGGTCTGTTGGTTTTTATTCTCCCAGCTTGCGCTTCCTCGGTGGTGAAATCGATCATAGACAGGAACCCTTTCTTTTCGTCCATTCTCTTTCCCTTTCCTCTTGTTTTTATAGCACTGTGCTACCTCCACTTCTGCTGTGCCGTCTACCAACCTCTCCAGCACCCGTTTCCTGTGGGCGCTGCTCCTGCGTCTTCAGCCCCTGCGACCCCTCTTCTTCTGCGGCTGCTTCCGGAAAGGCTACTCCCAGCGACGCCGCTGCCACTAACGCTACCTGCCTCTGACACTGCTCCGAGAAGCGCCCTTACCTCTCTGTTTACCAGTCCCGCGGAGCCGGAGCACCGTTGGCTTGGTGCCGTGACTGCTTGTATACTGATTCGTTTAGCTTTCTAAGTGATACGCAAGCTAGATGGATGTCCTGCGATAGGACTCAGATTTACTTCTCCTAATTACCCTTCTTTTCTGTCAAAGCCAGAGCATATTGCTTACCTCGCATTCCCACGATTACCAATGACTAGACTTCTTAGTCGGTTGCCGCGCAATGTACCCTAGTGGCAGTAGGTTGCATCTGCCGCGGGGTCGGAAAATAAGACTCGTCGAGCATGTTAGAGAATGGGGTCCGGGTCCGCAAGTACGGATGAGCAAACCATACTGAGCCGAACAGAATGCCCAGTAATCCGAGCACCCATAGACTTTGACCCAGCGGCATTTGGCCTGACCCTGGCAGACCTGACGTTAGCCGCGAGCGACCTCGACAACAACACGAATTTCCAAAATTTCAAGTCCAATCTACTTTCCAAAGACTGGCGCCCGGCTAGCCGTCTTGGACACTTTCAGGTCCCGCTCATGCAGCAGCCAAGGCAATAAAGAGAAGGCGCCATGGAGCGAGGGCAGTATTTACAACTAGAATCTGAGGACCTGTGGAATTGACGCCGAAAATGACCGCTTTCGAGGCCGTTTACGGCCGCCTTTCCACCCGTAACTTCGGACGTCGAGCCGCCGCTTGACCGCCCACTGCTCTGTACCACCACTATTCTGCACCCGCCTAGCACTGCTAGTCATCCTCCGGTCCTGATGTTGGCGCTTGACTTCAAAAGTTATTCCTCCCATTTCCACTCGCGACCAAAACGACGCCAAAAATGGCTCCCCTCCCTTTTCCCCCAGCCCGGTCGAGCACCTATAAGATGATTCGTTTTTTCTCTCTTCCGGTGTCCTTGCACCCTCTCATTCTCGCTCATCCCCGTTGCCCACGCTTCAAGTTGACCTTGACGCTATTGTTTCCCACAACACAATTTCTACACCCTGGTCTTTGTATCTGACCTGCTCCATGGCACTTGCGCCCGTACCTCTGGCTCAGGCTGATGAGCACCAATACTGGACTGATCCCATTTTTTGCGAGGAAACTCGAACCAGACTGGAACATTTTCGTGGTCTTGGATGGCTACCCCCAAATTTCAAGCCCAAGACTTTGAAAGGCATTGCCGTCATCGAACGCTACTGGCGAAAGTGAGTATGAATTCGGTCAGAACAAGCCTTTGTGATCTGGGCATAACATACAAGAATAGGTATTGCATTCAGTTGAATGCGGACTACGTGGACTACCTTCTTTTGGAGGACCAAGCGATCTACATGAACTTTTTTGACTGGATGTTCAAAACATCACGAGAGAAATTGTTGCAATCATATGACAAGTTCTGGCGCCGCCTTTGTCAGTACTTTGAGTTGTTCGCCCGTCGCCGCGTGAATGACGACGTCCATAAACAGATGCAACGAGTATGAGTGTTCCTTCTGTCCCTGGAGGGGCTAGGCTAATTGTGACATAGTTTCTCACAGGTGTATTCCCAGCCGAGCGCAGAATCCCCCAACGCATGAAGGACAAGAACACTCTAGATGTGGATGTCTTCTGTGTGATCTACTGGCATCACTGGGTCCATTCAAGATTTTTTCGTCATGGAAGTATGATCGTCCAATTTGCTACAGTCCAGCTCTGGTCCGCCATTACTGGGACTCGACCCGGTGTCTTGCTTCCACAGAACACCTCTCTACCTGACAACTTGTCCCTGGGCAAACACAAACGGGACCACACTTTCCAAAGCGATCTTCCCAAGTACATTTCATTGAAAGACCTTCCAGACTCGGTCTGCTATCGCGATATTGAACTTTTCTACCTGAAAGACCCTCAAAGCAAACGTGACGTTCTGTGTGCCATCATAGAGTTTCGCAATCTCAAAGGCCGACCGGAAGGTGCTGACGGGTAAGGGTGTTTTTGGGTCCCAAATTCCTGCGTAATTGATCTGATACTGATCCTTGCTGTCAGAACCAAATTTTTCATGCACGGCGATTACCAACTGGCATATTGCCCGATCGCTCAAATCATTTCGCTCGCTTTCCGCGATGGGGCTTTTGTCAATACTGAGCTCACACCAGAACTCATTTGGCGACTGCGAGTTCCAAAACATAGTTCGTCCCTTCCCCTCCGCTGGAAGCCTGAGGTTCTCAACACGCCCATCCTTCGGCGGTTTGAGCGCACTCCATACGGCTTTGAACTTCATGGGTCTTTGTCGATGACTTATGAATCAAGTCGGCAAGCGCTCAGAGAGTTGGGTCGAGATGCTAGATTCGAAGACGATATTGGACATTACAACTTCCGCCGCTGGACTGCAAATGAAGTCAATCGTAAGTCACTACTTGGAATTCATGAGACCCTTGTCACCATGACTACGGAGGTCTTCTCATATTGGGTCTGACTAGTAGGGTACAGGGAATTTCACTAGCCAGGAGCGGCAAAGGGTGCTTGGCCAGTCTGGTGATGCAGTTTTTGAAAAGCACTACCAATCGCAATTCATTGGACGTGATCTCCAGCATGTCGTTCTTCTTCGACCGCCTCAGGAAGGTCTATTACGCGCCGCTGGAAATATGCTCAGGAAAAGGGATCCATTAGCACCGTCCGATCTTACCGATGCGCATAAGCGTGCTATTTGCCAACACCCAGAAATTCTGCAGCTTAGACGAGAGAAGAGAGAACTCATGGCGGAGATGCGATCCCTGGCCGGCACTGTTAAGAATGCCCGAGAGCCCTTCCCACGCCTCTATCAAAGGCATGAAAATGTCAAAAAAGAAATAGCCAGACTTCGAAAAAAGTTTGCAAGTGACACACGAGAGACGGCTAGAAAGGACCATTTTCAAAATGCACCTGTACTTGAAGTTGACAGACAGATCAAGCAACTTCTCAGCGAATCTGATGTTGAGAGGTCTGATGATGAAAATTCTGCTGATGGAAACTGGGAACTACCTCCTCCAGAGTATGCATTTGCTGAACGGGCACATCTTGTGGAAAACTTCTACGGGCCCGATGCAGAGAACTTTGATGAGGACAAGCTACTTGCTCGACGCATCCAGGTTACCAAGGACATGGTTGCGCTTTTGCGGCTCTGCGAACCGAGCAGACGAGGCAACCGAGTCAGTTGGACTATCAACGATGAGGATGATCTGCTTGATCAGCTGGAGGAACGCTCGTCTCCCGAAGAGGATACTATGAAATGTCCAACAGATATCTGCATCATCTGCTATGGTCTATCTCGTCTTTCAGCATCGAATCCCCCTCTGCATAAATTCCCTCCCAAGCGACAGGATTCTCTTCGTCGCCGCCTAATTGACTTTCACCTGGTCCATGCGCGCGACGGGATCAGCTGCAATTGGGAATCCTGCCGCAATGTTCCTAGATTCACCAAAATCACTGAATTTCTGGCCCACGCTGCCACTGTGCACTCATATGATGTCAATATCAAATTGTATCATCTCCCACAGGTATCACAACTTAATTGCAGCGACATTTCATCCAGAGAAGTGTCTTTGGAAGCAGGGAGGCAAGGCACTGAAACTCCCGCCTCCTCCATTGATTTTGAGATGGCAAATATTGACCCACGTCTGTTGGAGCCTTGCCCTGTCACGACCAGGATCATATCTTCTTTAAGTACATCCTCCACAAGGCGTATTTCACGTCGTTGGTGGTGGGTCTTGGATATTTCTCATCCATGAGATGTTGTAGGTCATATTGGCAAAGTGCATTTTCCATGCAGCAGCACCAGACTGAGAAATCATCTCATCCCTGTAGGGTTGGCACCGCTGGTAGTCTTCCATCCAGTGATTCAGGTATGATGGAAACTTGGGTTTGTATGTTGTTGAGAAGGTTGGCCATAGCTGTGGCTCCTTCAGTTGCTCCACCAGATCCACTGGTACTGGCTGCCAAGGATGCCATATTGTTGGTTCGTTCAGTCGGTCAATCCTTTCTGGTGGATGCTTCCGAATTCAGTAGGGAATCTGAGGGGTTCACAAGTCCTTACGCTTTAAGGCTCGCGTTGGTGGGGAAAATGAGAGTAGAGATCTAGCGATTTAGCTGGATTCTCCAACAGCCGGGCTCATAACCTGTGGATCAGGCTATGGCAAGGAACGGCATCGACGATACTATTGTATTCTGTGTCTGTGTAGATGGATGAGGGTGGATCTCCTCTATCCGGCAGTTGTGTGTGGGTGCGCTAGTGCGGGCCAATCAGGAGTGGGGCATATTGGAGCCTGAGGCTCTCAAACAAGGGAGAGGGTCAGTGATTCTCTTCCTCTTTGGTGGGGTCCCCAGTTGCCAGGTTCTTGCTGAAATTGAGGACCAGAGTCCTGAGATCTTTGCCCAAGGATGCTGCTCCTCTAAGGCTCTTTTCCTCCCAGCTCAGGACCTTCTGGCTTATTGTAGAAACAAGCCCTAGGACTTCCTCTCCTGTGGTTTTTATCTCTGCTGTGCGTGATGCCACTGCAGCTGCAATGTGACTTTGGAGTTCTAGGCCCAATTGGCTTTGGGGGGTTTCGTAGGAAGGGGACGCAGGGGGTGTATCCCGGTCAGGTTGGCTGGGCAGTTGCCAGTTCTTGGGGGTGAAGGGAGGCTGTATAGCTTTCTTCGGCGTCTCAGGTCTCGGTCGTTTGGGCGGTCATTTCGGGGTGATGGGCTCCCGGGGGGAAGCGGTCGGGGACTCATGGGCCGCCGGGACTTCCCCCATATTGATATCGGACATAGGATTGGCGATAGCGGTATTTCGTACTCGGTAGTTGGCTGGGGAATCGCGAGCAGGTGCTCACGATTTTTCGCTGCGGAGTGTGAACCTCTTCCACCTATGAATATGCGGAATTTCCCACGGCGTACGGCTGTCATCCCTTGGGCAGCGACGGGGAGAACCCGACACGTTAAGACCCCAAACCATCAAGTCAGCCCCTGACGGATTGGGTCGATGTAGGTAGTCATACATGCTTCAGCATCCGCCAATGAGTCTCCACGATCGTTGCCGCTGCAGTGTCGGAACTTCAACCGGAATAGTAGCTCGTGCCTGCAGCCTCCACCGACCCGGGCAGCACCAGTTGACATACTTAGATAAACCTAACGACGGTAATAACTCCGGGCCTTACACCATGTATGCATCTCAAGATGTCAGCAGGAAATCCCAGAAACGTGTGACATTTCTCCTTGTTTGCGGTTACAGTCCTCCCAGTTCGTCGGGTTTTTCACCCATTAACTTAATGGACATAAGCAATTGCTAAATCTATGGCCAACTGGCTGTCAGCTTGGTAACAATTCCCAGCAGATCTCCAATTCCATAACCAGTTTTTGGGCTAATTGAGCTTTGTGCTTACTGCCAATTTCACATTCCTGTAACAAAGTTGAATATTCACCCCAGGCCACACAGCCGGAACTGCGGCAAATCCTGATGGGTGCTATGTCGCCTTGGATTAAACGCGAAACTTTTCAGCCGCCGAGTCCCGCTACTGGAACTCTGCGTTTATCTCCAGATTGAAAGGCCTTTGAGAGCGCTAACATAACAATGGAAACATTGGTGCAAAAGGATAGTGAAGGTATCTCCCTCAAGGAATATGCCCATGAAGATGCTGCTGGACACATCTGGCTCTTGTTTGCCTGATGCAGCCAAAGTGCCTCATTCCTTAGTCAACCGTTTAGAGTGGCATTGCAGATGGTCTGCACTTTTGCTCTTCTGCTTACATTCCTCATCTTCAAATAGATCCAAATATAGCTGGTATCCCCATGCACATTATATGCCAATACTCAAGTGAGTTTAAAGTGTTATCAGAGTATCAAGAGGAGAGTTTCTACTTGTCTTATAGAAGTCGTAATATAATCTGACAGATGTGAGATGGCCTCACTGTCTACAGCGCTATGACACGTCATTTTAATCCCCTTCATCAGCAAACATAATGACAGATGTTTGCCCCAAAAATATCCCAGTCTAGGTACGCAATTGCGGCATATTTTTGAACAGTGTTAGGCGCAAACATTCACTCAAGGAAGAAGCTCACTCCTGCGCAATGAAAGGGACGACGACATTCTGCCACAATCTTCGTCTATCCTCGTCCAAGCTCTCTGCCCACTCTTTCTCGACCTCAGCGAATGCATCCCACCACACCTTATGTGTCGAACCAACGGCGTTATCGGCGTACGTCCTACTCTTCCAAGGCTTGTCAAGGATGTAATGCAGGATCTTGACGTCTTCATCCTTCCACAGGTCGCTGTGGCATAGTCTCAAAGTCTTCAGCGCATTGTAGGTGTACGGCAGAGGCTTCCACTTGTTTCGGTATACGATGGCTAGGAGGTCCTGGTCAAAGAAAAGCATATTCGGAACATCTGGATGTGTGTTCATAGCCTTTATGAGCGCGTCATACTCCTTGAGTGACGGGCGCAGGATAACCGTCCCGCTATTCAGTAGGTGGTGATTCCCGGGGCTACTCTCGGTAATTGGTTTGGGCCTACTGGTCGCTTTGTCTGCGGCAGTGAAACCGCAATTCTCCGGTATCCTAGAACAACACGTAGTGTTATATTAACGTTCTTGGGTGCTTGGGTGTTTCAATCACGGTAAAGCTCACCAGTCCTTACTGTAATGTGCCAACTTGCGAGGGTTGCATGTACAAGCATGACTAGCTGCAATGGAGCCTTCGAGAAGGTCCATAGTCATCATATCGTCGATATTCTTCAGGATGACCTGGTCGCTATCAAGAAGGACAACTCTCTGTACGTTCAGATAAGAGATTTGAATCTTTCGCAAGGTCACTGTAGGACTGTGACCTCGAAATCTGGGAGTTGCACCAACGCACCTCATAATTCGTAAATCGCCACGGAGCGAGCTTCTCCCAAGTACCCTTGTTGACTCTGCCATCCCTAGGCGCCGGTTCGATGTTCTCAACGACAATTGTGGGGATTCCGGCAGCCTCAAATGCCTGCATATATTCTGTGTCCTCTTTGACAGCAGGAGTAATCATTACCTTGAGCTGATACTTAGATTGTGTTTTGCGTAGCGTGTGATTAAGCACGAGCAACCCCACAAAGTATGCTCGATTCGTAAGGAGCGTCGTCCAAATCTTTGAGTTGTCATATTCTTCTGGAGTCGGCATATTATCTGGAGTCTGTGAAGAGAACGCAAAGACATCAGTATCGAAACGTGTGGGATAAAGTTGTTAGAAGAGGCTAATAAACTAACCAAGTCTTATTATTGAAAAGCAAGTGTTAATTGAAAGAACAATCTTTGAGCAATGAATTTTCTAACCGTGTTTCTCGGTTCCAACAAAGATGAATAGAGTTTTAAACTGGTCGTCCACCCGGCGGGGGTAATGTTAGGACACAAAGCCGCATAGCGGACTTGTGCATGTACATAACGCGCACGTGCTGTTACTAAGCACCCGAACGTCACATGACCGCGACGTAAAGTCTTAACTCCGCTGATGGCCGGAGACAGGACATCAGCGATTAGTACCGTGAATACCACGCACATACCCTTCATAACGCTCACTGCGCTATCCATAGATCGCTCTCTCACAGGTAAACTATAGTAGAAGCGTGATAGAGTGTATACAGAGGTAGTATATGTATGTAACAACTTCGGTAGTAATAGCCAGTCCCATTGGTGATTAGACTGAACGCTGGTCTCTCTAACGTTCGCCCAGCGGTCTCCCTAAGGAATGTTGGGGCCACGTGCTCTCTCCGGGCGGCCCTATACCTAAACGGGTTACGACCGCACTATTACTACTTCGGTCTAGTGCTAGTAGATCTTCGGCGCTTGTCTAATATACATGCGTTCCGCCCTATGTCCATAACAAAAGGACCCAGGCTTTCTTCCGGTCTGAGCCAACGCGTTGAAGGGAGGGAGGAGCAGAAAGTGTAGGAGGAATTCAGACCTCAGAGAAGGAATGGGCCGAATGGCATGACCGCGATAGGAATGTTGATCACTCACAGATACAACGAGGTCTTTAAGCTGATTGGGCAACTACATGGGAACTCCCACAACATCCAGTGTTTTGACACCACCTGTCCCAAAATCAGCCATCTCACCATTTTTATCGTACAGTTATCGTATATTAAATATCTCGGGCCCTTGAGAAATTCGTATACTGCTGAGTTTCCATACATGGGGGGAGAAAAAAAAAAATTCCGTTGTCGGACTATAGGAATGGGACTTGGGAGTGAGCTTGAGTAAGTCCCATGGGAAATGTCAAGGTCTACAAGCCAGTGGATCAAAAGGATTTCAAAGGATTGAAATTGCGCGGCACCACAATGTTGGGTGATGGCTCACCCTCTTTATGGCGCACTCACCCAGGCTCACCTAGACTGCGGCATACCCGCAACTGTGGCCGCAAGGTGGCCGCACTAGCATAATTATCGTTTGTTCAACTAATTCGAGACTCCCACATGACACTTATGTAGCTGACAAACCCTTGGTTTTCATCTTAAAATACGCATGCTCCAGTTTTTCTAGTACATTTGGGTAATCTCTCCTACCTATTATGACGCGATATATGCCACTATTGCCAGGGCCAACTAAAACAACACACAATCAAGGATCTTATGCTCCACGTCTTCTCATCTAAGTTTGACCTTGAAAAAGGCGAACTAGAGATGATCAAAGAGTATCTCTCTCCTGGAGAGGCCGCCATAGCTGATCAAAAAAGAAAGCCTGTTCCAACGCTTGATGAGCTTGAACCAATCAGTGACAATGAAGAGGAGGGCTACGAAGTAGATGATTTATTTGATGATTTATCTGATGATTCAGATATAGAGCAAGCGTTGACTCCCACACAGATCACAAGTTCAATAACCACCACATCTTAGCCGTAGATTGAGGAGATCGAGAGTATTACTACCACTATTTTATTCTAAATACATAGAGTTATCTATAAATTTTATCTAACAATGGGGCAAAATGAAGAAGTGTGACTGTTTGTCACGGGCTCGGAGCCTTGGACTAGTAGATACTAATGAAATGATATTCCTATCAAAACTAGTGTAGCAATGAATGAGATGACTGTGACGGTCCCGAGCAATATGAGTATATTGGTAGATTATCTGACAAAATTCTAACATGAGGAGAGAAAAGGAAAGAGGCAGGCCTGCCGGCGACGAGCTATCTAATGTGTGTGAAGGGTTTAAGCGAGGCTCAGTGACTGTCCATGCTCAGTGAATGTCTATGCTCCGTGACATTACCCCCTCCTCCCAATGAAGGGCTACCCTCAGTCCTTCGAAACTGGATAATCATCATCCCAGTGGTCATCCAGGAACTCCTCATCTTCTGCTGCGCGGAGCCAGTCAAGCAATCAACAGGGTGGCCCTGGCGCCTCTGGGTTCGCTGCATGGAAGACCTGCAGCTTTACCGGGCTGTTCTTGAAGTCTCAGGCAGGGTACCAGTTCAGGTCATTATCATAACTGATCCACTTCACCCGGTACTGCAGTTTTCAGTATCTCAGTTGGGAGGCAAGGATCTCCTCCACTTCCCATTCATCTTGGTTGTTGACAGTGATTGGCAGTGGTTCATCTGCATGCTGGCCAGGAAGGGGTTCAGATGTGGAGGCCCTGTGGAGGTGCTCTGGATTGATAACTGGGTGGACCTTGATAGAGGCTGGCAGGTTGATGTGGAATGTGTTTCCTTCCTTTACAAGGATCCAGAAAGGGCCTGCCCACTGATAGTCAAGCTTCTTGCTTGGATGGCCCATGTTCCAGTTCTTTGTTGATATCATTATCATGTCATCTACATTGAAATCCACTTCCTGCCTTGAGCAATTTGCATTCTGCTGTTGGCATGCCTGGGCAGTGCAGATTCATTCTTGCACCCAGTCCCATGTCTCTTATAATTGTTGTAGTTGTTGCTGGGCATTCACCTCTGTAACTGTTCCATTAAGGTTTGATATCCAGTCAAAAGATGTCCTGGGGGTGTAGCCACTGTTAATGAGGAAAGGAGAAGTCTCTGTGGACTCACCCACCAATAGTGCACCAGCAAAGTCTATCATGGGGAGCTTTTCTGACCAGTCATCCTGATAAT